TCGAAGAAGAGACCGACGAGGAGGAAGACAAAAAGAAGAAGCTTTGCATTCTGTGTTCCCGACACGGCCACAGCTACATGATGTGTTGGGACGCAGGGTATTCCTACGACAAGAATGGGAAATACACCCCGTGGTTGAATGTGAAGAACGAGGATGGAACGGAGAGAACAAAGGCCCAGTTCAGGAAGTACTTTCGTGAAAACGAAAAGGAGATTAGGGCCGAGTACGCAAAGTTGCTTGACGAGAACAAGAAGAAGTTCAGAAAAGGAGATGGAAAAGGAAAAGGGAAGAAGCCCAAAGAGGAAGGTGAAAAGAAGAAGTGAAGCCCTGAGGGGGCTTGGAAGAGAAAGATGTCCGAAATGACAATAAACTAAAAGTGCAAGATCGCACCTATAGACGAAGTCTTGAAAAAGCCGTCTGTGTATGTGTTTGAAGAGAAGTGAGAGAGGCTACCAGTAGCAGCGTAGTTTCTTCGTTTCACGTTTCACACCAACAAAAGAAGTGTGCACCACGATGTGTTTAAAGGAAAAGGATGACCGAAGTGAGCGATGAGGAGTTTGCATCCGAGTGAACTTAATTGCGATGAGAAGTGTGAGGCAATGAAGTGTAACTCGGAGAGGGGGTAACAAACTTTTCGGTTAGCCATGTGCCCCCTGTAGAAGTATTTTTCCTTGTCGTTTCACTGCTGCCAACAAGGCTCAAGGGACTGCTGAACAGACCGTGTCCCAGCAAAAGTGCCCGCTAGTGGTTTCAAGTTCAAGGGTCTGGAACGAACCCTAAATCGTTTTATTCTTGCACTGACCTCACGAAGCACGCCTCTGGCCTGTCAGACATGAGCAAAAACTGGCCATCATGAACTGCATTTCCACAATGTGTTAAAGCAGCGCGGTTGGCTCTCCTAGTTGTGCTTTTATGGTGTACGATAGGAGTTGCCAGCACAGAGCCAGGAATCTCCCGATGCCGCCCCGAGGCTGTTTCCAGGCTCTTTGGGCACGAAAGGACCCTGGATGTTCAAGGAAGGTCTGCGTAATGCTGTGCTTGTCCACCCCAAGACACTGCCGAAGGCCTTTCCCCATGCGATCTGCGAGATTTTGCAAAGCACGTCAATTCACTCTTCTTCGGCCTATGCCCATTCGAAAAGAACCTACTATCTTCCCCACCTGTGGGGCCCGTAACTTAGTCCGCTTGGGCTGCAGACATTCTCCTCCATTCTTCCCCTGCTCACGCTTGCCGCGGGTGCCGCGCTAGCAAGACACTTCGCCGGACCTGGCACCCGCGCGGCCTGTATCTGCAAAAGCAGTGCTTATAAGAAAGCGATAAAAAACTCGCGCGAGGCCTCTGATTGGGCTCCGGTCTGTTTTGACGTAGCTTGACAGCACGCGCAACAACCTAATTGCATTCCTTCGAGCTGGAGCCGCTGGAGCCCGTCCAGAATGGCATCCAATAGCACAAGGCTGCAGGATGCTGCGGGGAGGAACCACACCTTGTTTTCCACTTTGCTTTATAACACGTGTTATAACACCCCTCATCACCCCTCTCGCTCTCCAGGCATGGTTTCGGGGGTTGAATTAGGGACCTCGGCTGCGCGCTGAGAACGCAAAGGCTGTCTCAGAGCCGTGGGTTCTGCCGTATCTCGGGCGCTGGCCACTTGGTGCCTCGTGCTGGGCTGCGTGGACTCCGTCGCACGCCATGGGGCAAGCTGGCTCCAAAATGGTGACCCGAGGCTGTATCTGGATGCGCAGAAACCTCCGACCCGTGAGCCACCTTTGCTATCTTTGCAATCTCTGCAATCTTCAAGCGGTGGCCTCCTCAAACCCGGTCGAGGGCATCCGTGCCGGCACCTTTCTTTTCTCCTGTCCTCGTTGTTCCCTTTCTTGGTCTGTCAGTTTCCTTCCGTGCTGCCTTCACAAGTAGGGAGTATCAAGACTCAGAAATGTTAGGAGTTTCGCTTGAAGCCGTCGAAAAAACTCACCTCTCGGCTGCAGCAGAAGGATGCTGCGAGCTATGCCCCATCAAGGTGTTTGGGGCCACATGCGTAGGCCTTCGGAACATGGGGCGCTTACTCTCTTAAGGGCAAGACGAAGCGCCGACGAGCAACATAGCTGCGAGCTTTCCACATGACGACTGGACCAGCAGCAGGTGCTCCACATGCCCGAGCCTCTTTCCAGACGTGAGGTTAAGGATTTCGACGTGAGGAGGCGTCGCCGACGGCGAAAGCAACCAAGATGCGTGGAGAAAGTTGAGGGCTCCCAGTGCTTCAATCTGCTTCATCGCTTGTCGGGGATCGCGCTGCCGCGTTGCAATTTGGATCTCGCGTGACTTCGCCCACATGTCATACTATGTCATCTCAACATGTCTCGACCGGTTTTGGGGCTGCGTTCGAAAGGCGGTGGCGATGGAGGTCTCTTGACCCGCAGATGTGATACCAATTGCTACCATCTCGGCCCTAAGGGTGTCGGGGGATTGGTGCCCAAAAGTGGTAGATTTCCCCCCGAGGACGCGTGTAGGACAGAGAAGAGACCTCCAGGAAGCTATGAGAGCTGCATTCGTTTGCCTTGTCGCTGTTACCCCAGGTCGAGTTCGGCACAAAAAGAACAAGACCGATGCAGACGACCGTCCACAAGTCGAGTGTGCGCGCGCTGCTCACACCTGGACACCCAGCAGCACATGAGAGAAGCCGCGAGTCGCACAAAGCGCTTGCAAAAGAAGGATCAACCTCCCCTGGCAGAGGGTTTGCCAGAGGCTCGACCAGCAAAAAAGCTACGGGCTCATGCTTTGGGCACGGATCTGCGTGCAGCTACTTCCAGTGCCCCCCCCCCCCCCAAAAAAAAAAAAGAAAAACAAACAGGAAAACAACTCATACCCCGTAGTGAGTGTTCTTGGAGCATTCATGAGAGGCCGTGATTTCTTGTGAGCCTGAGAGCTTTGCAGAGGTTTGGAGTCGCCTTGCAGCGCTCTCCCTTGAGGGGTTGACATACGTTTCGAGCGTGCGGACTCTCAATGATTCGTCTATGCTGTTCACGCATGACCGTCAGTTTCAGGTGCTAGGATGTCTATGGACAAGACTGCATGGCTGTAGGTAGCCCTTGCCGTTTGCCTCCCCTGCCCAAGTCTTTAGTCCCCGTAGAAGCGTTGGTACGTGCTGTTGTTTGCTCAAGCCAGCAAGTTATCACACGGAGACACAACACGGGACCATGAAAGTTGCGCTCCCACCAGCTGGGAGAAACAGCAAGGCATTCGTGCAAAACCACCAATAACACTTTCAGATGCATCAGCTGTGTTGATGACGTTCGGGGTGGGGATGCTTGCCTTGCGTAGCTGATGCACTGACGCATGCAAGGCACAGCATGCATGAAGGTGAGATGAGGACTTGGTGCCGCCATGTGCCAGAGTAAGGGCACATGTGACAACATGAGAGTTGAGTGGTTCAACACGAAATCAGTCAAAGAGGGTCTTAGAGCGCAAGTTGCAGGTATGTTTACACTGTTGGAGGTCTCACAAACATCCACGCACGCAGACACACGCCTGCACACACGTGCTGCGATGACTGACTTTGAGCCGCGTAAGAGGACTGCCCAACTTAGTTTTTCTTTCGCGGGATCCTTTTACAGGAGTCGGTTTCAGGTTCAGTTGCGCTGTGTACTAGGAATGCTTCGCCCATGGGTTTTGTGACCCTGCATGTTACGTTGCAGGATCTCTGGCGTTTCGCCGTTGGCCCGTGCCAGCGCAAGAAGCAAAGAAGAGGCACCGCCCTAATTGACTATCGACCTTGCAAGGCTTAAACAAAGCCTTAAAGTTTTAAAGGTTCAGGCATGTTCACCCCCAAACCTTCAAACAACCAAGAAAAACCTGAAAAAAAAAAACCCAAGCCTGAGCACCAAAAAGAAGTCACCGACCCATAGACCGACCCTAAGCGTTGAAGCTCAAAACCTGAAAACCCGACATAAGGCCCCGTCCCGAAGCCCTAAACCCTAAGCCTAAACCCTAAACCCTAAACCCTAAACCCTAAACCCTAAACCCTAAACCCTAAACCCTAAACCCTAAACCCTAAACCCTAAACCCTAAACCCTAAACCCTAAACCCTGTTCTCAGCCCCTGAGCTCCCAGGATGTTGCGAAGATTCTAAAGGATGCCGATACTAATGCTGATGGCTTGCGCTGGGCTCAGATGTGGGTTGAACATGTCACCCTAAACCCTAAACCCTAAACCCTAAACCCTAAACCCTAAACCCTAAACCCTAAACCCTAAACCCTAAACCCTAAACCCTAAACCCTAAACCATAAACCCTAAACCCCAATCCCTAAACCCTAAACCCCAAACCTTAACCCTAAACCCTAAACCTTAAACCCTAAACCCTAAACCCTAAAACCTAAACCCTAAACCCTAAACCCTAAACCCTAAACCCTAAACCCTCTTTCATGTGTCACGGGCTGTAAAGGTGCTTTGCCTCTACAAAGGGTGGGCTGAGGTTGTCGCTGCAGGACCGGGACCGGGACTGCTCTTCGCAGATGCCACGGCGGCTGAGAACAGGGTTTAGGGTTTAGGGTTTAGGGTTTAGGGCTTAGGGCTTAGGGCTTAGGGCAAGTGCCCCCCCGCAAACCTTCGAAATGAGGACGTGGGCGGCATCTGACAATCTTCGGGTCTACTGTAGATACTCCGACACCATCCATCAACACCGATTTCTTCGTTTTTGCGTCCTTTAGACGAATTACAGATGGCTTGTGGCACAGTGAATGCGCGCGCACCTGGCTCCGGCTGGCTCCGGCTGGCTCTAGCTGCCGAGCCAATGGGGCTTTTAAAGGTTTTGGGATGCTTGAGGTTGTGTGTGTTTCGAGCCCGAAGCTGCAGAATACTGACAAAGGATCCAGCTTACCCAAAGGCTCCTATGTAGTACCTTTTTGAGGTAGTATACTAGACTCCCTTATAAGTAACCCAAAAAGGAACTACATTGGAGCCTTTGGGTATAAAACAGGCAACGACGTCTCTTCTTCGCCGAAGCCATGCGCAGTGCTTGCCTCCCACGTGTGGGGCGCTGCGTGCGCTGCTTTGCCTCCACCCAACGCAATCGCATACGTCACGAAGCTGCTTCAACACACACCACGGTTTAGGGTTTAGGGTTTAGGGTTTAGGGCTTAGGGGTTTAGGATTTAGGGCTTAGGGGGTTTAGGATTAAGGGTTTAGGGTTTAGGGTTTAGGGCAATGAGGGTAAAGCTCGCGATGGCTCGGATGAGGCGATCTTGAAGAAGTGTCCCCCGCAGAATTCTCGACAAGAACCCTAAAAACACTTCCCAAGCAAATCCTGAACCCCCCAAAAAACACTTGCCAACTCCAAGGCTATGCATTGCTGGACGTGGACGGTGTCTGTATACTTGGCGGCGTCGAAATCCCAGGATCATCGCAGGCCCCCCCGATCTCTGCTTGGTGGATGCGTAACCGGGAACGGAAGGAGACACAGCAACTGAAAGGGCCCCCCCATGGCATTGCGGTTGAGATGTATTTGTAAAAACGCAAAGCGTGTCGCCTCGAGAACCCCCGAAAATTTCTGGAAACACCCCCTCTTGAAATTGGTTTGTCTTTTACAGTGGGTCGACTGAAGGCTGCGGGAAGGCGGGCGTTTTCAGGGGCTCCAGACCCTATGTGGTGGTTTTTTCGGTGGCATCCGGAGGCACTGGGTGGTGTTCGCATCAGCTGAATCTATCCAAATCCCCTATTTGGGCTTTATCACCGACTTTCGCAACGGAATTCGCGCGAAACCACAGCGCGGTGCGCCGTTGCGGCCGGCAACCTATAAGGGCCCCCCAGAAGAGGCCAGAACAGGCCAGAAGAGGCCGGGATTCGCGCGAAACCACAGCGGGAGCGTCGAAACGCAACTGAATTCGCGCGAAACCACAGCGGGAGCATCGAAACGAAGGCACCGCGTGCGCCGTTGCGGCCCGCAACCTAAGTGGCCCCCTCCACAAGAGGCCAGAACAGGCCTTTGACCGGGGCCATTGTATGGCGAACTTAGGAGTACATGCCGGGCTTGATGTGGCCACGCACTGGTTTCGGTCCCCGCCAGTTCTTTGTTCCATCCACGTGAGGCACTGGCCAGACTTCGCCCCTTGGCCGCGCAGATTCGGCATGATCCTCTGACATTCCTTGCTCCATCTGCCTCGTCTGTTCTACTGGCACCCTTTCAGGATCGTCCGTGCGAGCCTGCCGGTTCATCACGAACCAGTCCCAGGAATGCAAGCGACCGACACCTTCGTTGCATCTTTCGGAAGTTGCCCAACAGTTTCTAGGGCAGCAGCCCTGATAGCTCCAGGAGCCATGCTCCATGGTGCAAGCGAAGCTGCGGAGTGCGGGCTTCCACGTAGGCTCCTTGGTGCAAGTCGAGAGGTCCAGCGGTTTTTGGGGAATCCACTTCAAAGCACTAGTAAAGCTTGGCTCATGGATCAAGGGTGATCTGTCCCTACCCATACCCCAATCCGAGCACCATGACGCCAGGAAATGTCAACCACAAACTGAACATCGCAGTACATAGAGACATACCACTGTCTGCATACACACAAACAGACAGGGCCTATACATCTATACACATATATACACGTGCATGGATACGCGCATCCGAGACGTTCAACACCCACGTGCCGAGGAGATGGTGAGATCTTCAGTGCCCTTCGTGCAGCACGGCATTTTGTGCGCCAGCGCCAGCTGAGGCGTCCAAGCTAGCACGTTAGGGTTTAGGGTTTAGGGTTGAGGGTTGAGGGTTTAGGGTTTGGGGTTTAGGGTTTACCTAGGACATTTGCTTCGTCAGGATCCAGCAGGCCAGTCCGTTTAGGGAAGAGTCGTGTACCATGCCAAGGACAGACTTCAGGCATCCACAGCATAACTTGCAATCAGGCTACTGGACGAACCAAAGGAGGGGCATGCAAAAGATGAACCCGTGTTTGCCCAGTTTGTTTCCCAGAGGGCTTCCGTGCCGCCAGGCCGCTTTGCCTGCTAAGCACTGCGGCACTGGAGGAGACTCGCAAAACGAAGGTTCTTTTTTCCGAGAGATTCTGATAAACCCTAAACCCTAAACCCTGAACCCTGAACCCTAAACCCTGAACCCTAAACCCTGAACCCTGAACCCTGAACCCTAAACCCTAAACCCTAAACCTAAACTCTAAACCCCAAACCCTAAACCCTCAACCCTCAACCCTAAACCCTTTACGACTCACACTTATCCGCGGTTAAGTCAGGAGTTTCACGACGTGCCACAGAGGGAGCCCAATGCTGTGGTTGTCGGAACTGCTCTCCAAGCAGCACATCAGGTATCGGAAGGGGTTCAGGGTTTAGGGTTTATATAGGGTGTTTCGGAGCCGACTAGCACTTGTCTTGCTAAGGCGCCAGAGCAGATGCACTACGAGCGGCTAACTGAAGCAATGCGCGTGCTGCTGGCGAACGAGGTCCGTGTGACCGTGTGCTTGTGTGACCTTTCGACCTGAGTCGTTTAGGCGTGGCAATGGCGAACATGGCAACAACTCACAAACCCACCGTCGAGCACAAGAGCCTACCTCACGGTACCAGAAGGCAAGTGGGAGAAACAGATTCACCAACCCAGTTTGCGGCCATGCGCAACTTCGCCGGGCTATAAAAAGGTTGGACCAGTTCGTACGAAAATCTCGCAAATCACGTGGGATGCATGGCATTGAACGTATTTGCAAGTTAAATCGCATGGCTTTGTCGGCGTGAGTGTGGAACATACGAAAGCCCGGCAAATCACCTGCAACCGCAGCGAGCGAACGAGAAATGCGCGGGATCGCATGGTTCTGTCGACGTGGAACGGAATAACTCCTTGCCAAGAAGCCACGCACGTCACATGGGAATCGGGGGATGTCGGCTGCAGGGCCGGTGCTGAGGCCCAGTCGAACGGCGTTGGATGGGTCACCTTCCTCCATTTTTGTTGCCTCGGGCGCGCGCCCTCCACGGTTGGCGAATCCTTGTTCACAGCGGCTGCCGACCGCGGATGGCCTCCAATTTTGTGCGATGTGCGACAAACGTTGGGCTCGAAACGCGTGGAGCGCCTTGGACTTGGTCATTGCTTCTCCTGGCGATAGTTGCTTCAGTATGGGTTCGCAACCGATTCGTATTTGCGAAAAGTTCGACATGTGAAACATTGATGCGAGGCCAATCTGGTCTTCTTGACCAATGGCACAACCGCACGCTGGGTATCGTTGCCGTCAGGATCGCAAATACCGCCTTCCTGATGGCATGCTGGCGTGCTGGTCCGAAACGCTGCTTGGCGCGCACCGCCCCCTGGTTGGTCACGCAAAAACATGGTCCACGTTGCTGGACTGGAGCGCGTGGAACCCCGGTCAGGTCGTCAGCCCACGCGCTGCTACCCACATGGTTCGTCGCTGTGTCGTGTGTCGCACCTTTAATTTTATCGCTAACGCGAGGCCGCCTCGGCGGCAGGAAGGGGTAGTGGGGGTGAGGCGGGGAAGGCGGCATGCCCGTCGCGCAACAAGCGCAAGGGGGTGGGGGTGGGGGGCGGATGGGTAGGGGGGGTAGGGGTTTGGGGGGGGAAGGAGTAGGGAGGCAGGGCAAGGGGTTGGGGGTAAAGAAGGGGAAGTGGTAGTTTGGAGCGGCGAGTTTGAGGTAAAGTTGAGTTTTTGGGGGTCGGGGAGCAGGAGGGGGGGCAGGCGGGGAAGGGGGGGGTGAAACGCTTCTCGCATCCCCCTATACCTGGACCCAAATCCCCCCTGGTGCGGGCACGTCGGCCGCGACTGGATACAGGCCGACTGCGATGAGCCCGGACCAGCATTGCCCCAGCCAGCGCGGGCAGGGGCCTTGAAGCGGTGCAGCGACGGCAGCAGCCGCCGACCTCGATCCCGATCACGACGACTCGCGCTGGGAGCTCTGGAGTCCGGAGCTCGGGGTACGTGGGGCGGCGCTTGCGGTGCGCGGGAGCAGAGTGGCAAGTGTCCGCGTGACAAGACGATCGCAGCATCGATCGCGAGTTGCGTGGCGTTCTCATGGCAGGCGTGTGCACCGTCGGGTACATCACATTTGCCACTCGCTGATGACAGCCACCGCGCAGAGCTTACTCAATATCCTTGCAGGTGGTTGCAAAGCCTTCTGTGTTGATAGATCCCCGCCTGTTCCCACACATTTGGCCCACCACCTCGCAGCTGCACGCTTCGCTGCCAACGTCGCCACAGCCCTGAAGCCTGGCCGCGCGGCATCGCCACTGGCGACACGTTTCGGCACATTGTGTGCTGCGGGCCGTACCGGCCCGCAGCATCGCTGTCGACCTCGACCTTGCACGTCGCGATGGTCGTGTCGCTCGAAGGCAGAAGCGCGTGCGATACGATCTCTCGGCAGTTCCTGCGCAAATTGTCTGAAGTCGCTTCGGCGCTCCTGCCGCTCGTGCGGTTGTGGCACGGGCAGCAGTCCACATACATGGCGCATTATACGCCAGGGCGATGGATGCGAACAGATCGATGTGCTCCACTGTACACCCTCGGCCAGCACGATGCTCTCGCGTTGTGGACGAGCATCTTGCGGATTCTTGCGGCAGTCCTCGATGACGTCTACCTCGTCGCTACACGCCATCAGCTCCCCGCGTTGGAGTTGCCCAGCTCGATGCAAGCGTGTGGCATGGCGGTGCTCTTGAAGCTGAGCCGTTGCCCTTGGCAACCACTTGGGCACCGACTTTTTGTTGCCTCCGCCCACATCCGCCCAAGTGCCTGCAGCTGCGGAGCGGCTGCTCCATACCTTGCCAGGCCATGTGCCCACTGCGAATCAAGCGGGAGGCGGGCAACGCCCTCCGCGCTGCCGGATACGATGCGCCTGCGTGGGCCTTCTGATGCCTCGGCCGCCCCGCCAGCGCACGGCCGTGCTTCCGAGCCAGGTGATTCCCGACGGGGATGGCCGCGCCAAGCTGCCGGAGCATGTGACGCGCGCGTGCGAGACGCATCTTTCTGACCTGCCCCTTGCGTTCCGTGCGCTGCTGCTGTCGCAGGTTGGGCATCGCCGTCCCGCCTATACACACGAGGCGTCTCCATTCCGAACGCGCAGTTCCGCATTCTGCTGCTGTGGCGCCTACGCCTCTCTGTGCCGGCCCTCCCCGCGTGCAGCTGTCGTGGCAGGCTCGACGCCTCCGGGGACCACCACGCCGCGTGCGCTACAAGCGGCGTGCTCGCCGCGAGCGCAGGGCCGCTTGAGCGCGCCGTTGAGCGGGTTTGTCGCGAGGCCGGTGCGGCCGTCACCGCGGCTGCACGGCGCAAGCGCACGGCACGTCCTCCGCGCCCGGCGGTGCCGCCTGGTCGTCGTTGGCCTGGAAGTGGGGGCGGGGGGGCTTCCTGCGCCCACCGAGCCGCCACCATCCCAGCTTTATCCCAGCGCACCTCCGACCAGTGGCTCAGGCCGCTGGGTGTCGCGATGGGCGGCGCTCCTTACTGTTGCGGCCCAGCGTGCGTTCGCTTCCTCCTTGCTCGAGCTCCCCATTGCGGGCAAGAGCAACGGCGATGACGCCGCGCCTGAGCTGCACGAGGTCCTGGGCTGATGCCTGCTGGGACCATCCCTCGCCGCGCCTTTGAAGCTACTCCAAGTCGCCACCGAGTGCAACTCACGCACGACACTGCTTTCCGTTGACGCCATAGGGGTTTTTTTTGGCTAGTCTCCAGGCAAGCCATGCTCGAGGCGCTGCACTCGCGGCCCGAACTTGAGGCTCTGCTGCCCTTCTAGCGTTTTTTACCACAGATGATGCCGGAGCTGACCATGAGGAGTTCTGGCTGACGGCTGGGAGCAAGGCGACCCCCTCATGCTGGCATTGCCTGCGCTTTATGCGCTCGACCAGCACGCTGCCTTGGCGGATGTTTCGGGCATGCTCGTGCCAGGTGAGGCCACTTACGTTCAGGGCCCGCCCGCGAGTCGCGCTTCCCTATTGTGCCCCCGCCGATGCCCTGGGCCCGTGCCCGAGTCCAGCTCAACCAGGGCAAGACCCGCGTTTGGAATGCTGCGGACGAATCTGTCAACCATCCAGCCCCAGCAGGGCGGCGACGTTTGGGTAGGGGCTTGGAGCTCGCCGGCTGAACGCCAGGGACTGGTCGTGCTGGGCGCTTACTTCGGATCCGCGACATTTAGTGCGGCAGCAACTGCAGGAACAACGCTGCCAGCAGAACACCCTGCTGCAGCGCATCCCGGGCCGCAGTCGGCCTGGCTGCTCCGCAAATTGCCTTCTGCGTATGCTTTCCCGCGACCGCTGAGTAATACTGAGTATGCTCGGGAGCATGATCGGGTGGTTGAGGCCTGGCTCAGCACGCTGCTCTACGCTTCGGCAGCACACTTGCCGCTTGGCTTGGATTTGGTCGGCGTTCCGCTACTGCCGGTGCGCACGCCGCTTTCTGGGCCTCTTAGCAGGACTCGCTCCCCGCGATGCCTACTTGCCTTCCTGCCAAAGCCGATCATCTCCTGGCAAGCTTGAACTCTCCTCATGCCGGCACACCGCCTCCTTGCAGCGGCGTGCTCAGCTCGTGCCGGGTGCGCCGGGCAAGCTTCCCCACTGCACTCTGCGGGGAAACCTCTGCTGCGCCGGCGCCACAGCAAGCTCAGGCCGCAGAAACGCACCTCGATCACGCGTCTCGTGCGCTGCTGCTCTCGCAAGCCGGACCTCACGTGGCTCGTGCCTTCGCGTCGCGCCCCACGTCTCCACCAGTCCTGCTGCTCCGACGCCTCCAGTTCCCCTTGCCTTGCACTCCGCACATTGCTGTGCCAGCTTGGTGACCACCGCTCGGCCTATGCCACGTCCATCCACGTCCGGATGCCTTGCTGCTGGGCCCTTCCGCTAGAGCATGTGGTTGCAGTGTGTGTCGCGAGGCCGGAACGCGGGTGGCATGGAACGTTCGAGTTGCTGACATCAACATGCATACATGAACATCGATGTGCCCATCAACGACTCACGCCGCAACGAGGTGGTCGTCAATGGCTTGCTTGCGTGGCGTGGTTCCCAGCTCGCGATCGATGCCGCGATCGTCAGCTCACTCTGCACAGCCCGGCGCAGACACCCCGCCGACTTCGATCCCGATGACGACGAGCCGCGCGCGCATGGCGCCGTGGAGTTCGGGGTGGGTCGGCGCCGTTTGCTTCGGGGCGGCACTTCAGCGCTCCGCAGTGCGCCGTGGCAAGCTCCGTGCTCGGGGTTTGGACCATGCCGCCGCTGCTGCCTGGCGCGGCGGATGACGTTCCGCTCGCAAAGCCTGTAACATCGCTGTAGTGGAGTTGCGGACGCGGACGGGATGCGACTGCAGGAAAATATCACGAAAGCTAGCTCCTGGGGAGCTTGCGGGAGTTCTTGTTTACCAGTTTGTTCTTGGGCCAAACAGCACTCAGGGGCCTTAATCTCCGATCTATCGGAGGTTTAAGCTGCCATGGCCCCCCCCCCCTTCGGTCAGCATTGTTACCCATCCTTTCAGGGCTTGTCTACATGTCTGGATTTCAACTGTTGATGCACAACTTCCTTGTCTTTATACGCTGCAAGCTCGTTTGGTAAAAGTCAGCATTGTATACCCATCATGGTAAAAAAGCCGTGACCCCTTGAAAGTCTCCCCCCAACACTCGCACGCCCGAACCCTCTCGTCCGTAAAGCTTCCACGAATTTCCACGACTGAACAGCGCGGTCTTCACACCTGCGCCCTAGCTTTCGTTCGCCCTGCTCTCAAGTGCGTGGGGAAAAATGGCACGTTGCCTTCAATGCCATCATGCAGTCGTATGGTGGCACTTGTATCTACTCATCAGAAAACCTACCGAATCGCGGGAAAGTGAACCGACAACACCACCAGGACAGTCATCTCATTGCGGCACTTGGATGCATTTTGTTTGGAGTGGTGAATGGCGCTGGTACGGCCCGCATGCCCCCCAACCACTGTTCTGTCCCAGGTGAACAAGGGCCGCTATTTCCAGCGCAGCGACGGTTTAGCCTTGCAGGACTCATTGTGCGTTTGCTGAACCTGTCGGGGTGTAGGCGGAAACATGCGGAAACACAGTGTCCGTGTGAGGCCGGTGGTTTTGTCGCCGCCCTTGAATATGCGACAGGCAAGACCCGCTTGCTTGCAACCAACACGACGGTGTTTCACAATCCATGAACATACCTTCGTTCATTCCATGATAGGTGCTTGCCAAAAGGGGCGCTGAACAAACGAACTTCGCCGCATCTATGCGAGGCAAAACGGCGACAGTCGTGGGCAAGCCGCCGCTGTGCTGGATCGAGATTTGCAACACTAATCGATACTAATCGTTCAACCTTGGCCACAGTTGTGTCGGAAAGCGCTTCCGCAACGGACATCCCAGGGACTGGGAGTTTTTCCATTCGGCCGTTGAAGATGCCTCTGGGGCGACTGGTCCGGCCGTTGAGTTGCCCCTCGGGGAATTCGTCATGATAGGCGGGGTGTTGGATTTGGAGCATGTATTCATTAAACTTTCGGCTGGCGTTGGTTACGCCATGTCACACACATCCGCAGCCGGAGTTCTGTTCATCAGTTGGGGTGGTGCGGCCGCGTTCGATATCAGGTGATGATGTCATTGACGATGTTCAAGGCGCACATGTGAGAATGGGTCTTGACAGGTAACTTGTGATTTTTTTGCTCCTTTCGATGCATCAATCTCCTCGGGTTCAAGCAGGGATGCAGCGCACAGAGGGAGTTTGTTCTGGTTCAATGCCTGAGGCGCCATGAACGCGGGCATGAAGGCGATCCTTGTGAAAACAGGCGCTTGTTTGTCTGCGACAAGCTTAGACAGCATGGGCAATACCCAGAGAGCCCAATACCCCTTAATTAAGGAATATACCTGAAAAAAAGGGGATCCTTAGTACGATTTAAGGAATATTCCTTAATTGAGGGGTATTGGGCTTTTTGGGTAAGTGAGCATCCGACTGGTGGGAAGGCAAGTATCGCACTGGGGACGAGTTTCGCTGCTCCACGCCGCCCCTGGCTGTCGTCGACAGTCTGTTGGCGAGCTTTAGTCTGTTGTTTGCTGTCCCAAACGAAGCCGCAGAACTGCAACGGTGTGACACGTTTTTTTTTGTTTTTTTTGACCGGCAATCGGGTAAGAAGAGGTTTCAAAAACCTTGACGGATTTAGTTGCAAACCTATTTCCCTAGACCCTGCGCTGCGCCCTTGGCCAAAAACATTTGATGTGTTGCTTGTCGCTTGAAATGCCAAGGCTTGGCTGATGCTGTGCATTTTCTGCACGATGTGGGCTTGCTTGAGTGACGGCGCGGAAAAAAATTCTGCAAACCTCACCGAGGCTTCCTGCACAGATTGCACCCATAATTGTCCGTACATGTTCTGTGTATAACAAGTATTAAGCGCCGCAAGTCCACAAAGGTAAAAGGCTCGTGCGGACATGGCTACACCAAGAGCAAAGAAGCAATGACACCTCCTTGACACGTTCCGAGAACACGTCTCCGGCCAAGACACTTCGCGGAGTGAAGCCACGTGGACACTAGCCGATGATATGGCCACGGGCATGCGGAAACACTTCCTGAAGGGTAGTTGCAATTGAAATGTATCTCCAACAGTTCGTGGCGTTCGTACGTGGCATCAAGCTGCCAGAGGCCTCCATCGAACAATAGTGACGTGCAAATATCATCTCGTTTCATCGCAGTTGTGACATTCATTTTCTTTTTGCATCTTTCTATCTTTCAGTCCTTTCAGTAGTTCTTTTGTTCTGTCTGTTATAAAGCTTTTCTCATTCTACCCGTCTTTCTCTCTCTCTCTCTCTCTTCCTCTTCTCTCTCTCTCTGTCTTTCTCTCTGTTTCTTTCTCTTTGTATCTCTATTTTTCTTTCTTTCTTTCTTTCTTTCTTTCTTTCTTTCTTTCTTTCTTTCTTTCTTTCTTTCTTTCTTTCTTTCTTTCTTTCTTTCTTTCTTTCTTTCTTTCTTTCTCTGTGTCTCTCCCTTTCTTGGTCTCTTACAACTCCCTTTCTCTGCTGAAGGATATATTTCTGGCTCTGGCTAGACTGCTGCCGCACCATGAAATGCAGGAGTTGGACAGTTACCTTGGCGATTACTTGGGCTACGGAGAAGTGGAAATCAGGCCCCGTGGTTCCTTTAGCACAGCTGCGGGGGGCGACCTTTAGCACAGCTGCGGGGGGCGACCGTTGAATGAATGAATCCGTTTTAGGGTTTAAGGTTTTTTATGTTTGGAGAAGCCAGTTCCGGCGTGATTGGGTCCATTCGTGTTCGGGGGCATGTCCCTTCCATGGGTTGGACGGCTATCAAAAACTTTGCTAGAATACGGTGTGTTGTCAAAATGCGATGGTTTCTGGGCCCTAATGGCGAGGCCCTAAACAAACCCCACACCCCACAAACCCCACAAACCCCACAAACCCCACAAACCCCACAAACCCCACAAACCCCACAAACCCCACAAACCCCACAAACCCCACAAACCCCACAAACCCCACAAACCCCACAAACCCCACAAACCCCACAAACCCCACAAACCCCACCAACCCCACAAACCCCACAAACCCCACAAACCCCACAAACCCCACAAACCCCACAAACCCCACAAACCCCACAAACCCCACAAACCCCACAAACCCCACAAACCCCACAAACCCCACAAACCCCACAAACCCCACAAACCCCACAAACCCCACAAACCCCAAATCCCAAATCCCAAACCCCAAACCCCCAAACCCCAAATCCCAAACCCCAACCCCCAACCCCCAACCCCAAACCCCAAACCCCAAAACCCCACAAACCCCACAACCCCACAAACCCCACAAACCCCACAACCCCCCAACCCCACCAACCCCCACAACCCCCCAACCCCACAAACCCCCACAAACCCACAACCCCCCCAAACCCCCCACCCCCCAACCCCCACAAACCCCACCCCCCCAAACCCACCCCCCCCAAACCCCCACCCCCCACCAAACCCCACCACCAACCCACAAACCCACAAACCCACAAACCCAAAACCCACAACCCACAAACACCACAAACCAACCCACAAACCCCACAAAACCCACAACCCCCAACCCACAAACCCCACAAAACCCACAAACCCCACAAACCCCACAAACCCCACAAACCCCACAAACCCCCAAAACAACCCAAAACCCCACAAACCCCACAAACCCCACAAACCCCACAAACCCCACAAACCCCCACAAACCCCACCCCCACAAACCCCCACAAACCCCCAAACCCCCACACCCCACAAACACACAAACCCCACAAAACCCCAACAAAACCACAAACCCCAACAAACCCCACAAAACCCCACAAACCCACCCCACCCCCACAAACCCACAAACCCACAAACCCCACCCAACCCCCCACAAACCCAAAACCCCCACAACCCCACAAACCCCCAAAACCCCACAAACCCCCACAAACCCCACAAACCCCACAAAACCCCACAATACCCCACAAACCCCACAAACCCCACAAAACCCCAACAAACCCACCCCACCCCCACAAACCCCACAAACCCCACAAACCCCACAAACCCCACAAACCCACAAACCCCACAAACCCACAAACCCCACAAACCACACACCCAAACCCCACAACCCCACCAAACCCCCAAACCCCCAAACCCCACAACAACCCCACAAACCCACAAAACCCCACAAAACCCCACAAACCCCAACCCACAAACCCCACAAAACCCCCCAAAACCCCACAAACCAAAACCCCAAACCCCAACCAAACCCCACAAACCCCACAAACCCCACAAACCCACAAACCCCACAAACCCCACAAACACCACAAACCCCACAACCCACACAAACCCCACAAACCCCAAAACCCCCAAACCACAAACACAACCCACAAACCCCACACACAACCCACAAACCCACAAACCCACAAACCCCACAAAACCCCACAAAACCCACAACCCCACAAACCCCACAAACCCCACAAACCCACACAACCACAAACCCACAAACCCCACAAAACCCCACAAAACCCACAAACCCCACAAACCCCACCCACACAAACCCCACAAAACCCCACAAACCCCCAAAAACCCACAAACCCCACAAACCCCACAAACCCCCAAACCAAACCCCACAAACCCACAAACCCCACAAAACCACCCCAAACCCCACAAACCCCACAAAACCCACAAAAAAACCCCACAAACCCCCAAAACCCCACAAAACCCACAAACCCCACACAACCCCACAAAACCACACAAAACCCCACAAACCCCACAAACCCCACAAACCCCACAAACCCCACAAACCCCACAAACCCCACAACACAAACCCCAAACCCCACAAACCCCACCACAAACCCCACACCCCCACAAACCCCACAAACCCCCAAAACCCACAAACCCAACAAACCCCACACAACCCCACAAACCCACAAAACCCACAAAACCCAACAAACCCCACAAACCTGAAAAACCCTGAAAAAAACCCTGAAACCCTGAAAACCCTGCAAAACCCTGAAAAACCCTGAAAACCTGAAAACCTGAAACCCTGAAACCCCCTGAAAACCCTGAAAAACCTGAAAAAACCCTGAAAACCCTGGAAACACCCTGAAAACCCTGAAAACCATGAAAACCCCTGAAACCCGAAAAACCCTTTAAAAACCTAAAAACCATAAAAACCCTAAAAACCCTAAAAACCCCTAAAAACCCTAAAAACCCTAAAAAAAAACCCTAAAAGCCCTAAAAGGCCCTCCTAAAAGCCCTAAAAGCCCTAAAAGCCCCTAAAAGCCCTAAAAGCCCTAAAAGCCCTAAAAAGCCCTAAAAGCCCCTAAAGCCCATAAAAAGACCTAAAAGCCCTAAAAAAAGCCCTAAAACCCTAAAACCCCCCCCTTACCCCAAACACCTTTAAACCCCAAAACCCCAAAAACCCAAAAACCCTAAAACCCCTAAAAACCCTACAAACCCTAAAAACCCTAAAAACCCTAAAAACCCTAAAAACCCTAAAAACCCTAAAAACCCTAAAAACCCTAAAAACCCTAAAAACCTAAAAACCCTAAAAACCCTAAAAACCCTAAAAACCCTAAAAACCCTAAAAACCCTAAAAACCCTAAAAACCCTAAAAACCCTAAAAACCCTAAAAACCCTAAAAACCCTAAAAACCCTAACAACCCTAAAAACCCTAAAAACCCTAAAAACCCTAAAAACCTAACAACCCTAAAAACCTAAAAACCCTACAAAACCTAAAACCCTCAAAACCCTTAAAAACCTAAAAACCCTAAAAACCTAAAAACCCCAACAACCATAAAAAACCCTAAAAACCTAAAAACCCTAAAAACCCTAAAAACCCTAAAAACCCTAAAAACCCTAAAAACCCTAAAAACCCTAAAAACCCTAAAAACCCTAAAAACCCTAAAAACCCTAAAAACCCTAAAAACCCTAAAAACCCTAAAAACCCTAAACCCCAAAAACCCTAAACCCCAAAAACCCTAAACCCTCAAGACGCTCCGTGGACCCAAGGGCCTTCTTCGAAGAGCACAAGAATGAGGTGGGCGCGGCGCGGAGCAGTTCCGGGAGGGCTTCCGGATTTCCATTTCCAAACGCAGATGATGTAGGGTTTCGGATTTAGGGTTTAGGGTTTAGATGGGTTGAAGGGGCTATTCCTGTCTTTTGTGTCCTGCAAAGGTTAACGATTCGCCGAGTGAACATTGGAAGGCACGCCGCTCCTGTTCTTTCAAGCTTTTTATAGGATGTCCGAGGTTGGGGACCTCGTTTACGTAGTGGTCCGTAGTGAGGGCCGGGATGTGCCTGTGGCTGGATGGGCCGTGAGTTTGCCAAAAACTAACATCATTGTTGGCACTGCGCCGGAAGCGGTGGAGATCATAGGCCAGAAGAAGGTCGTGGGGTCTGGTGAGAAGGCTGTGGCCTTCTTGAGGGTCCCGCAGACTTCTACTACCCTGTGCCAGCCGGAGGGCTGGTCAGGGCTTCGACCGAAAGATCTGCCTTCGCTGAGCGAGTGCCAGACGGGTTGGAAGAGGGGCAATGCGGCGGACATCGAGAGCAGCGAGGCCGAGTGCCCAGTCACTGTGCGGCCCCGTGGAAAGGCCCCGAAAGAGGCGAGCCGCCTCTCGAAGGAGCTTCGTGGGCTCAACCAGCTCTTTGGCGAGGACGAGGACGAGGACGAGGAGGAGAGCGAGGCCGAGGAGGCCGGTGCCCCGAGGGGGTATCTGGCACCAGGCCGTGGAAGTCTGAAGGCCAAGAGTCGAAAGCAACGCCCGGGCGAGGACGACGACGAGCCGGATTTGAAGCAAGTTATGCTCCAGAGTCTGGCAAAGGGAGGCGATCCAGGCCAGACGATGCAGCTCCTAATGATGTCCATGCTTCTGGACCATGCCAAGAAGGACAAGAAGAAGAAGAAGAAGCAGAAAGGTCGCGGCAGCCGGGCGTCCAGCTCGGGAGATCTCCTTGGTGGTACGTCCTCCGGAAGTTCGGACGACGAGGAGGGGGACGGCAAGCGAGGGATGAAGGCCGTGGTGACCTTAAGAAAGCTGCGCGAGGAGATCCATCGGAGGCCACGCCGTGTATGGGAGAACTTCGAAAAGGAGATGCGGGAAGAGCTGGGAGTGATCCCGGGCCAGGCGTGGACGGTCAGAGACTACCTCAAGAGGCAGAATTGGGGTCGCTTCAAGGGCCTTTACCGTTGTGCTGTCCTCGACGCTGCTGTTTACGAACTTCTTCGAGGAGGTCAAACAGAAGATGCAGGCGGTTTTACACCAGGGCGATTGGTCCACCGCGTGGTTGCTCACGGGGTTGAGCGACCCCTTGCAGAAGAAGGAGTGGGCAGGGAGCAAAGAGGAGATGGCTGTGATTTCGGGCTACCAAGAAGCGGTGCTGAAGTTGCGCAAGAAGGTCTCCGAGGCCCAAGGACGAGCGGAGGCCGAGGAAGACGAAGCGGCCACCGCGAGCCGCAAGTGATGTCCTATGAGAAGCCGCATGAGGGAATGGGGCAACGCTGTCTTAGACATCCTGCTCTTCCCGATCGGAATTCAAAATTTCTCAGTTATCTTACATGGTTCGAGAGCGCCCAAGGTACCTTGCTGGAACGGTCCGGCAGCTCGATATCTCTTTTCCCGTGTGCCCTGCCTTACCCGGAGGTCCTCCAAACCGGAGGCGCTTTGGATGGCCGAGCGGCTGCATTATGGTGGAGCAAGGCCTCGCTCAATGCGTTTGTGGCCTGGTCCAACTTTGTGGTGCTTGGTTGTCCTCGTCCGGGAAGCAGTGGTTACGAGCCGCGAGTGGGCTACAGAAGCGTACAAGACGCTCGGCTTTTTGCTGATAGGCTACTTGGCGAGATGGAGGAATTTGCATCTGAGGACGTAGTCTTTGAAACTTTAGAGTGCAGTGGGAAACGCGCGCTTCTTGAGGAACTGATTGGCCAGGTCCCGGGTGCAGTTGCAGGCTACCCTGATGATCGTGCCCAGGTTGGTGCGATCTCTTCGGCTTCAACGGCGCTCCCGGTCGTCGCGGAACGCGTGGCGGTGCCCGCTGAGGCTGGCAGTGTTGACCCTCTTGACTGGCTCCCTGTTGAGAGAGCGGAGATCGTGAATAACCTGGCAAAGCACAGGTTGCCGGAGCATTTGTGGGAGAGGGTGCCCCGGGCATTTCACAATGTGCCTGAGGCGGAAGAAAAGGTGGTGGCAGAAAAGCTTTTGGCTACGGGCATGGCGGTGCTTGTCGCCGAGAAGGACCTCCCGAGGGACATGGATGGAAACTTGTTGACGGGGGGTTTGTTCAGTGTCCCGAAGAATGAGTCGGAGGATAGGCTGATCTATGATCGTCGTCCTGAGAATGGAACCATGGTAAAGCTTCCGTGGGCTCGCTTGCCCAGTGCCTGCTGCTTCACTCGCATGTTGCTAAGGGAAGATGAGTATCTGCGTGGTTCAGGGGACGATTTGCGGAATTATTACTATTCTCTGAAGCTTCCTGCGAACTGGGTGAAATACAATTCGGTTGGCAGGCCGGTGGCGCCCGAACTGGTGCGACAACGCGGCCTGGATCCCCGCCAGACTTACAGGCTTTGCTTCCGGGTCCTAGGAATGGGCGACGTAAACGGGTGTGCTATAGCTCAAGCAACGCATGAAGCTGTCCTGCAGAAGTTCGGACTTCTGCGAGCTGAGAACCTCCTGGTGTACGGCCAGCACGCTCCTAAGTCAGAAGTTTGGGAAGGTGTGTACCTAGATGACCTGCTGATCACAGCGAAAGTGCGGGCAGGAGGCCCTGTCGCGCAAGATGGTTCGTTTTGTCCTCGTGAACCTGAGGCTGGAGACGAGGATGTGATGAAGGTTCGGGCGGCCGAGGCTGCCTACCTGGAGGCAGGTCTGGAGAGGGCAGTGCACAAGGAGTTTCGTATGCTGACGCAGTTCCGGGCTTGGGGAGCTCACGTAGACGGTGTTCGAGGCCGTGTGGGCGCCCCCCTGGAGACCAGACGACAGGTGTGGAAGCTGACGTCGGCGATAGTTAGAGTTGGCCGTGCAACAAAGGTGATACTGCAGAAACTGGCAGGCTTCTTGGCCTTCATCTTTGGCTTCAGGCGCGAACTGTTCTGTCTCTTGCATCACTTTTTCAACTTTGTGTCGAACATGAAGGAGGGGATCTGGATTCGTTTGCCCGAGTTCTTGCTTGATGAATTACGCAGTGTGGCTTTGCATCTTCCAGTTGCAGTCTGGTGTATGCGCAAGAAGCTCTGCTGTTCCCTGCTGGCGACAGATGCTACGCCGACAAGCGGCGGGGCGGTGCGGGCACAGATCCAGCCGGACCTTGCCCAGGAACTCTGGAGACGAAGTGAGATTAGAGGCAAGGCAGTGCGTCTGGATCGGCAGGAGCCCCCCGACTTGATGGAGGAGGAGCCGGTGCGCCCGTCCTTGTTCGGCAGCCGGCTGGCGGAGAGCTTGGAGTGGTCAGCCACGGCCAGTTATAGTTTCCGGCAGACGTCCCATGTGAACTTGCAAGAGTATCGAGCTCTAGGTCGTGAACTCCGGCGCTTCTGCAGCGACTTGGCCAATGCAGGCACGATCCAGCTGGGCTCAATGACTCTTTTGTTGTGGTCTGTGTGGTTGCTAAAGGAAGGTCTAGTTCGTATAAGTTGAATGGGCTACTCCGATTGCACCTTCCATATTTGGTGATGGCTGGGGTGTCCGTTGCTCTGATCTGGATCGAAACGGAGAGCAATCAAGCAGACCACCGCGAGGGGTTCAGGACTTTGCCCCCGCCGAAACTGGGGCCGAGATGGCTGAGGAGGTGGGGAGTGGGTCAGAGACAGATGCGGGGATGGGAGATTTTTGCGGGGTCAGCTCGGATCACTGCTGCTCATGTCGAGTCTGGGATAGAAATGGAGGAGCCCATTGACATGCTGTGGGGCCAGGACGCTCTAGGGGCCCATATTGACCGACGCTTAGCGGTTGGTGATATTGTGTGGCTGTGGCTCGCGCCACCTTGCAGCAGCTTCTCGGTGCTGCGAAATCTTGACCGAGGTGGTGCCCTGCGTCCACGTGGCCTGCCTGAAGGTGACTGCCGCAATCCAGAGGTCGCTCGGGGAAACCTACTCTGGAGCCGTGCACTGCAGTTAGCCGACGTGATTGCCCGGCAAGGGGGATATTTCATCATCGAGCACCCGAGAGACTCGAAGGCCTGGCTCATGCGGCAGACGGAAGTGTTCATGTCACAGCATGTGGTTCAGCGATATCGAGTTGATTTTTGTGCTTTCCATGATGTTGAGAATGGACCTTTGCCAAATCAGAAACCGACGATCCTGCTCTCAAACTGCCCCTGGCTTGAAAACGTGGTTAAGAGATGTCCCAAGAACCACACGCATGGCGCTCCTTTGAGGGGACAGCGGGCGAAGAGGGCTGGAGCTTATCCTCGTGCTTTTTGCCAACAGCTTGCAAATGCCTGCGCGGCGTGGGCGGCGGGGCGTTAAACTTCAGGACGCCACCTTGTCATCAGCCTACAGACGTCATCTCAAAGAAGCTGGGGTGTGGTTGTTGGGCCTGGTGGCGGAGATGGGTGGGACACTGGGACCTCGTAGTTCGGCGCGTGTGGTGGACAAGTGGCTGGAAAAGGCGGTGAACGAGGGATATCGGAATGGCGAAAAGCTGTACTGGATCACTCTTGGGGTGCTAAGCTTACAGAGGCGGTATGGCCTGTCCGGAGCCTACCTCAAGACAACGTGGTCTGCGTTACGAGCATGGAGACTGCTACAACCGATTAAGCCGCGGATTCCAATCACACATTACATCCTGCAATGCTTGTTGGTGGTTATGTTAGCTCGAGGGTTCGCTCATAGAGGTTTACGAAGATTGGAGTGGTGGTCATCAATGTTGGGGTGCTGGCTCGCGTTTACAGGGCTGATGCGACCAGGTGAAGTTGATGGCCTCCAGGTGCGAGACCTATGTTTTCCCGAGGCGCCGGAGATGGCGGAGGGGATCGGACTTCTGGTTTCAATCAGACAGGCCAAAACGAGAAGAGTGTGGGCGCACCAATTCGTGATCATTGAGACTCCTCAGGTTGTTGAGTGGCTTCGTTGGTGGACAGCGGGGTCGCGACCTAAGGACCGAGTGCTTCGGGTAGGTCGACGGCGCTGGAGCACCTTATTAAAAGAGGCGCTGGCTAGCTTGAACGTGGGCGAGTGCGGCTTTTCTTTAGCTTCTTTCCGGGGAGGCGGAGCATGCCATCATTTCAAAACCAATAAAAATTTAGGCATGCTACAGTTCGCTGGAAGGTGGCAGAGGCCGGAGACGCTTCGGCACTATGTACAAGAAGCGCTGGGAGTGCATGCCCTGGCCCAGGCCCCGTCGACAGCACGTGACTGCTTGAGGGAAGTTTATGCGCATGTCGGACGCTTGGAGCATCCTCCTCCTTTTCCTTTAGCCCAGCTGCTCGAGTGAAGCCCGGCCGCTGTCGTGACGCCTTCAGGGCGCTCTTCGGGGACGAAGGTGCAGCAGAATGGCGGCGCCTGGAGAAGGGTCTCCCCGGAGGAAAGTTATCCGGCTCTCAGGCTTGACTGCGTCCGGTCGCCAGCGCAGAAGCGACAGCTTTGGTGTGGGGCGCGGCTTATCCGAACGTGTCGATGCCTCAGCTGCAGCCGGGGCCAATGCTCTGAATGAGGCGGAGGGGCCACCGCGTGCAGCAGCAGCAACGGTAGTTGAGGTGCAGCAAGCAGCCGTGGCGATGGCCGGCTGTGGTGGCCAATGGGCTCTCGGCGCAGGCCCTGCTTTCAGATCCGGAAGGCCGAGCAGCCGCAGCGCGATGGAGGTCTGGCAGTACTAGCAGACGCTTGACATCAGCATTGGCTCGCACTTTGCAGGCGCTCCAGGGGTGGACGCGACTTGGTCCGGGAGGCTCAAGTCATGGACCGCAACCTACTGAACCACTTCCTCTGAATGGCCGTGGAACTGAAAGGAATGATTGGCCCTCGTTGCCCACATGGCTCCGAGGGCGATGGACCTCGTGGGTTCCCCAACTTCGGATGAGGACATTGGCAGGCGTCTTGTGTGTGGTTCTCTTCCCCCGAGTGATTGCTTTGCTGATCGCGCTGCTGGTAAGGTTGCTAGTACGGGCAGTTTGGAGCCTGCTGATAAACTTCTTCAATTAGCTCTATGTCCAGGCCGCCTTGGGGGCAGCTGATGTGGAGGATCAGTTGATCCTTTGGTTGCACCAACAATTGGGGTGGCAGCCGCCTCCGGTGGGGCCTGCGCCTGCTTTCTTGGGGACTTCCCAGCCCACCCGCCCTGTGGATGTGCTCCTTGTCTTCTTGCTCGGGCTTCAGTTCCGCCGCCTGCCGGTGGGGGGGGTTGGGGAGGCCAGACCCTGAGTATGCCGGCATCCTCGCTTTTGCATTTTGCTATGCGATCCTGTTGGCCTTCATTGCCAAATGCCTCAGCGCAGCTCCGTGTCGTGTGGATCACGATCCTGAGCCGTATGACTTTTGAACCTCACGATTGGTGCTCACCATGGAAAAGAGTGTGCACGTGCGAGGGCCAAGTCCACAGGTTCAAGTGAACAGATCTGCAGGAATGAAGGGGCTATTCCTGTCTTTTGTGTCCTGCAAAGGTTAACGATTCGCCGAGTGAACATTGGAAGGCACGCCGCTCCTGTTCTTTCAAGCTTTTCCACCACCGCCCCGCCACCAGGCCAGACCCTGAGTATGCCGGCATCCTCGCTTTTGCATTTTGCTATGCGATCCTGTTGGCCTTCATTGCCAAATGCCTCAGCGCAGCTCCGTGTCGTGTGGATCACGATCCTGAGCCGTATGACTTTTGAACCTCACGATTGGTGCTCACCATGGAAAAGAGTGTGCACGTGCGAGGGCCAAGTCCACAGGTTCAAGTGAACAGATCTGCAGGTCCAATTAGGGTTTAGGGTTTAGGGGTTTCGGCATTTAGGGGTTTAAGGGTTGAAGGGGTTTGGGGTTTAGGGGTTTCGGGATGTAAAAGGGGTTTAGGCAAGGCAGGGTTGCTCGCGGCATTCAGCAAGTTCCCGGACCGGGTCAAAGGTGGAGTCCTGAACAGGGTTTAGGGTTTAGGGTTAGGGTTTAGGGTTTAGGGTTTAGGGTTTAGGATTTAGGATTTAGGGTTTAGGGTTTAGGGTTTAGGGTTTAGGGTTTAGGGTTTAGGGTTTAGGGTCCCTTCTTCCCTAAGAGTTTGTCTTGCCCTGACCCAAATCTTTTTTCGCAACCAGGGGATCTACCTTGGACCCTGTGTTTGGGATGAACCCCGACTTTTGTGGTCCCAGCCACCTCGAAAGGCCGGATCCACAAGAAGCGGTAGAGTTCGTAATACCCTAAACCCTAAACCCTAAACCCTAAACCCTAAACCCTAAACCCTAAACCCTAAACCCTAAACCCTAAACCCTAAACCCTAAACCCTAAACCCTAAACCCTAAAACCCTAAACCCTAAACCCTAAAACCCTAAACCCTAAACCCTAAACCCTAAACCCTAAACCCTAAACCCTAAACCCTAAACCCTAAACCCTAAAACCCTAAACCCTAAACCCTAAACCCTTTTTTAACACTCAGGAGGCGGGCGCCGTGGATCTCGCGGGCCTCCAGCGAGGCTTGGAGAGGGACGAACTCGAGTTCAAGACCGCCCTTGTGGCAATGTTTATAAAGTGCTCAAAGGGAAGGTATAATAAGTATATTAAGTGTAGTAAGTATAATAAGTATAATAAGTATAGTAAGCATAATAAGTATAATAAGTATAGTAAGGTTTATAAAGTGCTCAAAGCGAAGGCAGAAGAAACAGGGGTTTGTTGATGGTGACAGGAAAGGGCTTCTTTATCAATAGTGTTTGGTGCGCTGCTTCAACTTTCCGTTTCTACCACCATGCCTGGTGGATCGGGTTGGTGGTAAGCCTCCCCTGACGGCTGAGCTCTTGGGCGCCGGGCCAGGTTTCGCAAGCCCGCTGCTTACAAAGCCGAGTCTCCACCCGCTGGGTTGTTGATGTTTTTGTTGGGGACGGTTTCGAGTGCTGAAAAGTTAGGCCCGCAGCTTGCGGCCTTGGCTTGCAGAGGTTCAGCGTGGCGGGGAGAGGAGGCTTCCGGAAGGTTATTCGACACGCTGTCGCAAAGGCATGGTGCCGTGTTATCTCAGACCCCAGCCCGAACCCTAGCTCCCTCACCCACAAAATGGATGCTCACCTTGTTGTCGGTTCGAAACGAGCGCTGGCCAAATGCAACCCCTGGCAGTCGACAGCCCGAACTCGGCTCCTCAACCTCTAAGATTCGGAGCCTTCTGCGAGTTGCCTCACACCCAAAGCCCGACGCGCAAAACCCTAATATCTCCGGTCCCTGAACCAAAATATGTGCGGGTCTCAGGAGTTCTGGGAAAATGGAAAACCCTGGGTTTTTTGTGGTAAGCCGGACTCCGAGGCTTGTGGTAAGCCGGACTCCGAGGCTTGAACCCATACCTCATCTCCAAGCGGAAAGACTGCGTTGTGTGGCGGAAGAAGGGCTCGGCGCCCTGTCCGCAGTGCACTAAGGGCTTGAGGGTTTAGGGTTTAGGGCTCGAGTGCTTGAGGGTTTGGGTGAAGCCTGCTGCGTTCTTTTTTGTGCAAGGAGGTGGGTCTTCGGAGCTTCCGTGGCATGCATGCGTGGAGGAGGTATGGTGCTTCTTTTCCATACTCAAGAGGGAACAAAAAAGCTTGGCCTGTTATTCCCAAAATGCCATGGTCGTCTTCTCACATACATACCCATATATATATATATATATGTGTACACATCTCTCTCGCGCTCTCTCTCTCTCTCTGTCTCTCTCTGTCTCTCTGTGTCTCTCTCTCTCTCTCGCGCTGTCTCTGTTTCTCTCTCTCTCTCTCTCTCTCTCTCTCTCTCTCTCTGTCTGTCTGTATACACGACTTCCCCCGCCCCCCCGCCTCCCCGAGCTTGAGCTGGAATCTGGAATATCTAGTTCCCTTTACGAGCCGAATTTTAAACCCATTTTGGATTGCAGATCTCTGCGCCGGGGAGCCAGATGAACCTGGAGGCCGACATCGGGGGGGCAAGGGACGAGGCGGGGCTTTCGACTGAAACTCGAACCTGGACTGGGCGCCTTGAACGTGTCAGCATCCCATTTTTCTCGGCTCTTGAGCCCTTTCTTCTCACCCTGGGCATGATTCGGGGAGTCGGGGCGGTCCTTGTGGGCAGTTCTTGCTATGCTTCTCTCAGCAAAAGCTTATCCTAGTTCTTCGTAGGAAGGAATGTGCTGTACACAGGCCGAAATCCAATGCTCGTCTCCAGCTTCTGCAGTTCCCCAGTTGACGATCAGTTGAAGATGAATGGTAATCAATCGCACATGCGCAAAGCCCAAAAAGCGCCAGGACGCAAGACCTCAACATTAGTCAAAAATAAGCATTTGGTACAGCGCAAATTTCCCATAGAAGGCACGTAACATGGTGGACATAAGGGGCCTGTATTATGACATGTACCCCTCCCCCCCCCCCCCCCCCCCCCCCCCCCAAAAGGATTAACTAGGCAACTTCGGGCCAAAAAAAAGGGACGCATGGCACAACTTACCCAGCTGCATGCAAGAGGCCTGGTTGCAAGAATAGGGCAGCTAACCCAATGCCCTGCGGAGCCGCTCACTTCGCCCCTCACAAGAAAACCACTCTTAAACCCTAAACCCTAAACCCTAAACCCTAAACCCTAAACCCTAAACCCTAAACCCTAAACCCTAAACATGGCGCTGTGGATTCTGGCCAATGGCGATCGCCTTGGTGCTCGAGGTGCCAGCTATCCGCACAAACCCGCACAAGCCCCGCTTCTCACTTCCCTGCAGCTCAAGCTGGTTTGTCCTCAGGTTTTTTTCCTGAGAAACCCTTCAAAGTCCACATGAGCCATGCGCTATAAGCCCCGGACTAGAACTCACCAAGTGAAGATGGAGACCGCTGGTGGGATCAAGAGGTCTCGGCTCGCTGGTGCTGCGGGCGCTGCGGGTGCTTGCAACTTGGCCCCAAGAAGCAGCTGCATCCCACCGCCCGCTCAGGTGCAACGGGGTACTTTGTCTTTTTGTTTGTTCCGACGTGTGGTGTCAGATTAAGGCTCGCGATCCATAGAGGCGTAATAGACAAGTTGTGCTTCCGAATAGGATGCCCGTTGACTTTTCAACCTGCTGGTCCCTGTATGTGGCGTATAGGGGGTGTTGCCAATTCTTGCTGAGTAGGGGGAATCAGGGAATGAGGTACCCGATAATCACCCCCATTCTCTACGAAGAACCTGGGGGGGCAAAGGTGTGGATGCGTTTGCCTATTGCGCTGGCGCTTGGCGGTCTCCTCCTTCGATGGCTGCGGCGGATTCAGGTCACCATCCGTGGCCCGCCTGATAGGGCCGAAAGGTTGCCAGGGGTTTAGGGTTTAGGGTTTAGGGTTTAGGGTTTAGGGTATAGGGTTTAGGGTTTAGGGTTTAGGGTCTAGGGGAGTTCAGGCGCAAGCAAGAAAGGCCAGACTTTGGGAGAACAGAAGTTTGCAAGCTGCTGCTGGTGGCCCCCCCGTTTTCCTCAACCCCACCAGCTTTTTCTGAATTCAGGGGACTCCCTGGCGCTCATGAACCTGCCAGAGACGGACCTGGACGAAGAGCTGAAGCATAGCCTCTCGATCTCCTGGTTACACGGTCCCTTAGTCTGGGCCCATGCCCGAGAACCCCTTTAAAGAAGGGAAGGGGACCATATCAAGGGCCCAGCAAACTACCCTGAGAGTTTTATGTTGCAAATGTTTGTCTCTTCTTCCGAGCCCTACAAAGCAGCCTTCGAAGCACGCCTTGCAACCTTCAGAAAGCCACTGCTACCCTTGACATGCTTCAGCCCTCCAAAAAATCACCCCAAAGTCCCTGCAACATTCGAGAAGAAGCCCTGTAAAACCCTGGAGCTCTCGTACCCAGGGAACCGCTCCGAGCCCAGGTTTGCAAGCCACTGCGGCGTGTCCCCCCTGGGGCCGGCGCCTTAGAAACTTCCAAACATGTCGTTGCCCGGCTCCGGAACCCGGATCCAGCAACTTGCGGGTCCAGATGCAACAACAACAAAGGTTCAACCCTAAACCCTAAACCCTAAACCCTAAACCCTAAACCCTAAACCCTAAACCCTAAACCCTAAACCCTAAACCCTAAACCCTAAACCCTAAACCCTAAACCCTAAACCCTAAACCCAAAACCCTAAACCCTAAACCCTGAACTTTAGCCCTAAACCCTAAACCCTAAACCCTAAACCCTAAACCCTAAACCCTAAACCCTAAACCCTAAACCCTAAACCCTAAACCCTAAACCCTAAACCCTAAACCCTAAACCCTAAACCGTGCCCCAAAAAGACGGCGTCCTGGCGTTGAAGATCACAAGCCCCGGAAGGCGAACCCTAATGGGCACATCCCAGAGGAGGTGCCTTTTGCGCCTCTGAGGCCTTGAGTCGAGACCCTCAACCCTAAAACCCTAAAAAAAACCCAAAAAGCCCCAAGAAACCCTTAAACACCCTAAACCCTAAACCCTAAACCCTAAACCCTAAACCCTAAACCCTAAACCCTAAACCCTAAACCCTAAACCCTAAACCCTAAACCCTAAACCCTAAACCCTAAACCCTAACCCCTAAACCCCAAACCCTTAACCCCAACAAACCCTAAACCCCAAGCCATCCCCAGAATCCCAAAAAAACTTGCCTGACACCCGAAAGCCCTCGTTCCTGCATTCTTCGAGGCAGAGGGCTTCCGATGGCGCCGCGTGCAGGGGAGTGGCGGCAATATCTCTTCGGCTACAAGGACTGGAGTTCTCTTACTTAGGGTTTAGGGTTTAGGGTTTAGGGTTTAAGGTTTAGGGTTTAGGGTTTAGGGTTTAGGGCTCAGGGCTCAGGGTTTAGGGTTTCGGGTTTAGAGTTTAGGGCCTCCTGATCCGCTCCGGCTTCCAGAGCTTCATGTGGGGCTCAGGGTTTTGGGGTTTTAGGGTTGAGCATGAAACCCGAATCTCTCAACAAAGAGGCCTAGCAGAGCATTCGGGCGCGAAAGGTTTTGGGGCGTCTGGGGCTCGTTTGGTTTGCCTGACAAAGCTTTCGTTGCCCAAGGTAGGCTACTTCGTGGACTGAACCCACCCCAAGATAGACCCTAAACACTACACACTACACCCCAAACCCTGAACCCTGAACCCTGAAAACTAAACCCTAAACCCTAAACCCTAAAACCCTAAACCTTGAACCCTGAACCCCAAAACCCTGAACCCTAAACCCCTAAACCCCTAAACCCCTAAAACCCTAAAACCCTAAAACCCTAAAACCCTAAAAACCCTCAACCCGGGTGCCATCCTGGGAGTTGCAACTTTGTTTTGTCAAGGCAGGAGTGGATTCTGGGTTTCAGGATCGCAAGGCCGTGGAAGCTCACGCTTTTTCTTCACTGGGGTGACCATCCAAACACCGAAAGGCCCCTTTTTCGTGGGTGTTTTCCGGGTTAAATGCGAGATTCTTCAACTTCAGGCTGCTTGGCTGGAGCAACAACAGTCAACCCGAAAGCCCAGGCACCTTCCCGAGTGTTTGGCGTACATGCACATAGTCTCAAGCCTTTCAGGAGAGGCCTAGAGTCTTCTTGTGGGGGCCTGTGGCTCTGTGGCTCGGTTTTTTTTGTGACACACGTGTACATCAGTATTTCAAGTATCTCAAGTGCATCATCTTTCCGGGAATGTTGCCCTGCAGTGTGGCCAGTCTGCTTGGTGGGTGGAAAAAATCCCTCAACCCCTTAACCGTCCTAAACCCCGACAGCGAGGATGCGTGGGAGAATCTGTCGGAGATCCGCGGGCTCCTTGGCGTCACGCGCCGGAAGATGACGCCGCGCGTCCGCAGAGGGAAGCCGCCCAATTTCCCCAGATGGCAGGCCATGTGTTCGCATGTTGTCATATCCAACGTAGAGATCCAGAGAAGTCCCCCCGCAGCTGGCACAGAGTTTCTATGAGTTTCTCACGTGGACAAGCCTGTGCCAAGCCTGTGCCCACCCTGCGGCCACTCGTGTGCCCACCCTGCAATCTCACACATTCGGAATCCGTCGTCCTTTGAAAGGAAGCTGACGCTGGAGCAGCTGGCGGAGGGCACCTTCTTGGCAGAGGGTTAGGGTTTAGGGTTTAGGTTTAGGGTTTCGGGTTTAGGGTCGCAGGATCTCCTTAACAAGGGAAAGAAAGGAACTCAGCCCCGATCAAGTCGCAGACAGCTCACCACTCCCTCACGCTTCCAGCTGGGTACTGAAATTATTCTTACTTTGTGATGATTGTTATGCCTATTTTGCTATTTGTACGTACGTGTTATATATAAAAATAAATAAATAAATATAAATATAAATATATATATATATATATATGTGGTATTGCATTATATGATATTTCGATATATTATATGCTCCCCCTAAAACAAAAGAAGAAGAAAGATGGATGCCATGCTCCCTTCCATCGGCCTCGAAAAGCCCCACGATCACCATCGCGCTGTGTCCCAAAACAATTCCACAAAAGAGGCCGCGAAACATCAGCCCGAGGGTTTAGGGTTTAGGGTTTAAGGTTTATAGAGTTTCGGCTGCACAGAAAGGTTTAGGGTCTAGGGAAGCTTTTCCCAAAATGCGATCCCCTAAACGGGCTCAGGAGTTTGCCGATGTCTTGCGTTTCCGAAGCGCCAACCCCAAGAAGCTTGTAAGCAAAGCCCAGGCGTTCGCCGAGTGCTGCTGACGAAGCATCGCAAGCTCGTCCAAGTCACTGACCGGTCCGCTGGAGCGGTTTCGGGCAGCCTTTTCAGGGGCTGTTAGGACTCTTCGATTTGAGGGCTTTTAAAGTGTAGGCCGAATCCCTCAGAGGCAACAAAAAGAGGATGAAAAGGGCGCGTCAGAGAGCTCCTGATTAAAAAAGGAATGGGGGTCACTCGAAGCATCAACCCACCAGCTGGTCAGAGGTACTGGAACCAGGAGCAAGCAACCACCATCGCTGCCTCCCTGGTGGCAGAGTGTGGCCTCAACCCAGAGGCCACGACTTGGGGGGGGGGGGGGTTTAGGGTTTAGGGTTTAGGGTTTAGGGTTTAGGGTTTAGGGTTTAGGGTTTAGGGTGGGTGGGGGGATGTTTAGGCTTCGGGGGGCTGTTTTCGGGGTTTGGGGGTTTATAGGGTTTCAGGAAGCGGAGTCGTGCTGCTTGGGCAGTTTCCCTCAGCCTCTGGGCTTCTCCAAGGTCTATAACAGCTTCTCTAGGGTTTAGGGTTTAGGGTTTAGCGCGCCGCGTTGTGCCCCCAAGAGCGCGGGGCGCGAGGCAAGTAGCCACCAAAAGAAGCCCCGAGAGGCAGCAACAAGCCAACACCTTCATCCGGGACCTGGGAAATCTTCGAGTGGGCGACAGAAGGGAAGGAGTCGTGATTCTAAACAGATCTAAACAGGTGTAGCCGGGCTCACGCGCACAGCACCCTTGGTCAAAAGCTGCAGGGTTCGCTCCTCCGAAGCCTTGCACCCGTTTTTTTTGTTTATTTTCCCTCAAGCCAGCAACTGCCTAAGTTGTCGGTTTTTCTAGGGCTGCATCGCCAGATGCTGGGGGGGGGGGGCGGGGGGTTGATCGAAATTGAGAGGCCGTTTAGGGCACTACAGAGGGTGTGAGCAAAAGCGACGAGAGAGTGAAAGAGACAGAGAGAGAGAGAGAGAGAGAGAGAGCTCCGAGGATAGGGAGGATTTGGGGGTTTGCCGTAACAGCAAAATCATGGGTTGGGTTCTACGCTTTTTTTTTTTGCTGTCGGGCTTGGGCCTTCAACGCGTCAGGGCTGTAGGGTTTGGGAGCGGCTGGTGTTTGGAAGTGATTTGCGCTTCAGGGCGTTTGGTGTTTTGGGGGGTGCTGGGCCTGAAAGCTAAGAGCGCGCGGCATATATATTTAAACCTTAATTGTATTTTCAAAATTTGGCCGCTTTATTTTCAGAATTTGGCCGCTTTATTTTCAGAATTTGGCCGCTTTATTTTCAGAATTTGGCCGCTTTATTTTCAGAATGAGCCAAAATCAGGCCAAAGGCTAATTGAATTTCAGAATTTCTATTTTCAGAATTTGGCCGCTTTATTTTCAGAATTTGGCCGTTTTATTTTCAGAATTTGGCCGCTTTATTTTCAGAATTTGGCCGCTTCAGAATTCGGCCGCTTTATTTTCAGAATTTGGCCGTTTTAATTTCAGAATTTGGCCGCTTTATTTTCAGAATTTGGCCACTTTATTTTCAGAATTTGGCCGCTTTATTTTCAGAATTTGGCCGCTTTATTTTCAGAATTTGGCCGTTTTATTTTCAGAATTTGGCCGCTGTATTTTCAGAATTTGGCCGCTTTATTCTCAAAATTTTGCCGCTTTATTTTCAGAATTTGGCCGTTTTTGGCTTTCTCAATGTAGTGGGATTCTCTGGGTGGGTGGGTGTTATATCCGAGCCGTAAATAAAGCTTAACCGTAAAGCTGCTCGACCCAGAGTGCTGAACCCTAAACCCTAAACCCTAAACCCTAAACCCTAAACCCTAAACCCTAAACCCTAAACCCTAAACCCTAAACCCTAAACCCTAAACCCTAAACCCGAAACCCTAAACCCTAAACCCTAAACCCTAAACCCTAAACCCTAAACCCAACCACGAAGCCGAGCCGTTGGCAGGCCCGAGGTGGCTTGGAAGAATGCGTTGAGCCGGGAATTGGGCGTCTTCCGCCGCGCGGGCAGCAACTTCATGGGCTCCTTCCCCCCCCCCCCCCCCAACGAAAGGCGCAAGTTGTGGCAACCAGAAAAATTCGGTGCACCTGACTTTTAAGCTGTCTGGTGAGAGGGTCTAGGGAGATTGGATTGAGGGGACTTGAGAGGGGTTACTGGAGCAGACTTCCTCGAGCTTTTCTCGTGAGGATTGAAGGGGTTCAGGGATTCTTTGCTCTTTTGTACCTCTTTCCTGTGTTTTTGGATTTCGGCTCAGAGGTTGAAGGTCTAGGGATTTAGGGCTTAACAGGTTTGGGTTTGAGCTGCAGATTATTTCGCCCACTGAGAAGTAGGGCTCCAAATGTCGCACCCTAAGCCCTAAACCCTAAACCCATTCATTTTGGCTGGTGGCCAAAAAAGCCCAAAAGGGACGTTGAACGGCCCCCTTCCTTATTGTCGGCCAAGTTTCCCGACCCCCGGCTGGATTTGGCGCACACAGCGCTGGACTCTCGCAGCCGCCAGGCAGGGCGTAGTAAGGTACAGGGTTTAGGGTTTAGGGTTCAGGGTTTGGGGGTATCATAGTACAACTTAATCAGATATCATAGCCTTACACATACAAGGGTGCTAGGACCCGAGGGGGGTTCCCAAAGTACACATGGTTTACCCTTGCAGGCAAAGAGGCGGAGAGCCAGTGTGTAGTTCGGGAGTGAGGGTAGAAGTTAGGATGAAGCGCATGGATTGCTTGGAAGCAGTTAAGTATATGATATGTACAGGCCATGGACAAGTGAAAGGTTTCTGCTTGCTGCCAGGTGGAAGTAGCTTTTTCCAGGAGGGTTCTGAGCTGAAGTTGCAGAGGCGATTTGATCAAGGTTTCGCCGCGTGCTCTTGGTTCAGGGGTGAAGAAACTGTACAAGCCTGAAAAATCTAAAAACTATGATCCCGAGATACTTTGCACTAGAATCACTAGAATCTACCCAACATGCGCATCCTAATCCTCAAGCCCTAGAGCCTAGACCTTTAACGCGAAGCTCATGTGTTGAGTGCTTCATCTGGCTGGACTCTGGTCTTTTGCTTCCGTCTTTGGTGGCTGCGAGACCAGCGGAACCAGGGTTTAGGGTTCGGGGTTTCGCAGTCTCGGAACTGACACAAGTTTCAGGATTCGGAGAAGTTATGACTTGGAGTGGAAGAGGGAAACCAGATGTGGATGCGTGCGAGGCAGTGTGGCATGTGTAAACAACCAGTATATGTGCATGTCATGATGTGATGTATGCATACATGGCATTGGTTTGTTGCTCACACTGTCTGGATCTCGATGAGACAGAGTGGTTCTGCATCCAGGCACGTGTTTGTTGACGTCTGGCGCTGGACCCCGCGCTTCGTCGCGACGCCTTATGGCCAGCTTCATGCCACCTGGGCTCACAACATCATCGGCACAAGAGAAGTCTTCCCGGCACCCAAGCCCAAGAGCCCTCCGCCGTATCCCAGTCCAAAGCGCTCTAAGCCTTAAACCTGTGCCCAGAGCCAGACATATCAGAGATTAGTTCAGGGGATCTGGAAATCAGAATTCGACGCCTCAAGTCACGCAAAACTTTTGCATCTAGGCTGTAAGGTTGAGGACATCAGGGTGAAGGGCCGAGGGCCTTCGTCCATGTATTGCAGAGCTTTCGGCAGTTCATAAGCCCCAACAAGTTGAAGACACGGAACCGAGCACAAGAGACGAATCAAGCCTCTACACCCACCAAAAGCGCTGTAGCCCTAAACCCTAACACCGAAACCCTGAACCCTATAGCCCTAAACACCACAGCCCTGAACCCTAAACCCTAAACCCTAAACCCTAAACCCTAAACCCTAAACCCTAAACCCTAAACCCTAAACCCTAAACCCTAAACCCTAAACCCTAAACCCTAAACCCTAAACCCTAAACCCTAAACCCTAAACCCTCCATCCCAGAGTTGCTGGAGGTTTACGATGCGGTCCCGGAGGCAAGCCGTGCATGGCTTCGGCAGCCTCTGGTTTGGGACGGGCTTAGGGTCTTTGCGCATTATCAATGAATGATGAGACAATGGCTTAGTCACAAATGGTTCACATGAATATATTCAATTATTCTGGCTTCAACTATTTCAATGTATTCCAAAGTGGGGTTTTCGGTTCTTGGCACTTGGGTTTTTGTGGTAGGGTCTTGGGCCGAGGCTTCTGGGAGTTCTTTGGATTACGGCGAGGAGCTTGGGCAGAGTGGGTTGCAGAACAGGTTGTGCAACGGATCATCGAATCAGCTGTCTGTTGAAGCTTGAGTTCATGTCCCCGGACTCGTGACACCTCCCTGGTTGCAGCTTTGTGTCGCCCTCATAAACAAGTAGTGGTTGGCTTAAAGCTTCTGGGCTTCGTTCAGGTTTGCGCCGCCCGAATAAGTAGTGGCTGGTGTTTTTGAGCGATGTTCGACCATTTTGGATGACTTGAACTGTTCTACACCCCTCTATGAGGTTTCTTGAGTAGAAATCAGAGAAGCCCTGAGTTGAAAACGCCTTGACCCCCGAGTCGAAAACCAGCAAACGACTCCCCCCAGCAGGAAAAGCGCCCACTCCTCAAAAAATTCCGCGGAGAGTCCCGCGACAAAAGCCTGAACCTGCCCGACAGGGTTTTTTGTTGAATGGTCGAGGGCATTTGGGCGTGCGTATCAGCCGTTTTCTGACTCGCTGGCCTGCTTTCTGATTTGTGCCCGTGCCATTTTGTGACTCACGCCGGCCTGTTTTAAGACTCGTCTTTATCGTTCTCTGACTCGGTCCATGCCGGTTTCGACTCGTTCTCCCGACACGACCCTCACCTCTTTTGGACTTCTTCTGTGACACCTTCCTAGACTTTTAGGTTTTTGACGCAAAAGTGTTTGGGACTCCTTGCTCCAGCCTTAAACCCCAAAGGGTGGCTCGGCCTTGCCGCCGCTGCTGCTTCTGCATGGCATGTTTGTGACTTGGCATTTGCGTTCTGGGACACGTTGAGAATGTCATGTGCGACTCTTCGGATTTAAGATGTTAGGAGGGGTGAGGTGCGTTCCGTTTGCCCATTGCTGTCACAAGTGCTGGAGTCCTTTCCAAAAGCCGAAAGCAAGTTAAGACTCCAAAGGTTTCCAGACTCCCCGAAAGAGGATGTTCGAGTTCCAACTGAACACCGGGTTTTACAAGAAGCTCAACTAAGCCCGGACTCCCGTAGCCATATAGCCATAGCCTTCGCAAGACAGGTCACCGGCTGGTCCATGGCTTTGCTAGCGCAGCTTCTGCACCGAGGTGCCGGTGTGTTCGGCCAAGTCGAAGCCCTACAAGGAACCTCCTTCTGTGTGTAGAATCGTGGTTTATAAATATTATTATTATTGTTATTATTATTACGATTATTATTATTATTATTAGTATTATTATTACCATTATTACCATTATTATTATGATCGGTTTCGTGGTGGAGGGCACTGGGGAGGGGAGGTGGTCATATCATCATCAATCGGGTGGGGGCCATCGCTGGGCTCCGTTGCTTTGCCGTTTGACAGATTTTCTTGGGTCTGGTTTGGCCACTTGAGGCGTGATGCGGGCCACCCTGAAGCGATTCGAAGAATCCCGATTTCTGGTTTTCGGAACAAGGCGGCTAAGCTTCGAAATGAGTGGGCTTTCTCGAGGGCCGCCCCCCGGCGACACAAACTCTTCTTACCACCGTATAGCCGCGCCGGACACCCAAGAAACAGTGCCGACTCTGACTCTATAGTGGCGGCCCATGGATCGGCTCCCCATTAAACAGGGTTTAGGGTTTAGGGTTTAGGGTTTAGGGTTTAGGGTTTAGGGTTTAGGACATATCCTACTGCCAGAGCAGATCGAAAGCGGGAGCCGGGGGGATTTTACTCGCAGCATCTTGGAGGGTTTGGGGCCGTTTCGGCGAGGGACGGAGCGATGATGCGCGGATCCAGGGCCTCAGGGCTCGGGTTTCAGGGATGGAACCCTGGAGCCTCCCTCATCACAACCTGCAGCAGCCTTTTCCCGGACGTTAGAAAGATTAAAACCCTGCCCAAGACCGCCAGACTCGGCAAAGTCTGCAAGCGTGGGGATTGGTTTTGGGCTTGAGGGAGCCCCCACCTTCTTGTTTCGGTGCAGAAGGGTTTTGTGGGCAAGAAGGGGCTTCGTGGAAGATGCAGGTGGGAGGCGAATCCTCATTCCGGACCTTTTTGCTTCTCGGCACAAAGGCGCCTCAACTCCAAACCCTAAGCCTAAACCCTACAATTCCTTGCCTGCTGTGTGCGAGAGCCAGAGTCCAAACACTGGAGCCAAGCTCGAAAGGAGCCGAGAAAAGCAGGTCTTGGTTCATGACTCCCTTTTTGACGGTGTCGCGGATGCCTTTCGTTTGCTTTGAGTGTTTGGTGAGCCCACGTGGAAGGACGGAACAGGATCCCTAAACCCTAAACCCTAAACCCTAAACCCTAAACCCTAAACCCTAAACCCTAAACCCTAAACCCTAAACCCTAAACCCTAAACCCTAAACCCTAAACCCTAAACCCTAAACCCTGAACAGCTGAAGCCTAGACCACGGGGGGATCTGCCGCGCAGAAGCCAAGGACTTCGACCACGGACTGAGCCGCAGCTGCACCGATGGAGGCCAGGAGAGCCGGCCACAAAGGGTTTAGGGTTTAGGGTTTAGGGTTTAGGTTTAGGGTTTAGGGTTTAGGGTTTAGGGTTTAGGGTTTTGGGGGCCTTCGGGCTCACTTTCGACAGCCAGTAGACGAGAATAGTTTTGGGGGCTGCCAGTCACCTGGTTTTGGGAGACCCCCACTTTTGTATCGGGGGGCTGCATTTTGGGTGACCGGCATCGCAAAGCTGGGAATTGTGAATTAGAAGTCGGCTTCGTAGGAAGTTCCGTCTCGAAGGGGGGGGGGGGACCTCCTGGTCCCTAAACCCCAAACCCTAAACCCCGAACCCTGAACCCTGGTCGGTGGGTTACTAGGGGAAACAGAACCAGCGACACCACAGTAGTCTGCCAACGAACCCACGGACCTCTGAAGCAGTCCTCGCAGTGTGCGCGAGTGCCGGGTGGTAAAAGGCAGAACCATGCAGAACCTAAATCCTTTGAACCCTAAACCCTAAACCCGAAACCCTAAACCCTAAACCCTAAATCCTTTGAACCCTAAATCCTTTGAACCCTGAATCCTTTGAACCCTAAACCTTCATGTTCCCCTGATGGGCCCAAAGCCTTGCCATCCCCGTTCCTTCCCTAAGCAAAAAGCCTTGAGACACTTAGATGCTGGGATTCATATAGGTCTGCAGGACTAGAGTGTGTGTTAGGCTTTTTTTTCGGCGGGATTCAACGCTAGGGGGTGCCGCCTTGAATATCCACCCTCCTCAGGGCGCAAAGTTCGCCGCGTCACACAGGCGCTGGAGGCATGGAAGGGGATTCTGTCAGGTTTTTCAGTGGGGACCTAGATTTCAACGAGGCAACTGTGACATTTCTTCTTTGCTGTTTCCCCCCCCCCCCCCTCTCCCAAAAGAAATGCCCTTCAGCATTCCACCGAGACCAGAAACTGGAAAAGCAAGCCCTTAAGACTGGAGGCCGTCATGTCCGTGATTCATGAGCTCCTCGATGTTGACCAGGAGCCTGGACCTTGCCATGTGCTGGGTGGAGGGGAGAGGGCCCGGGATGCCAGCCTCAAAGAGCAATCTTTGGCATCATCCGGACCATAGGAAGTATACGAAAGATTCTTGCGGCCAGACACGTGTGCAAGAACATCTTCGAGCTGTTGAGGAGTTCGACATCGCTGGGCACAGCTTCGGGGGCTACATGGTCGCGAGGCCTTGCGGGACAGGGGGGGGGGGGGGGGCCATACGCAATATAGCGAGGGAGGAGGGTTCAGGGGTTTGGGGCGTGTTAAGTCTCGTGGCGTTGCTTTCTTCCCCCGGCCATCCTCCAAGGATCGCCGTGACCTGCGAAAGACAGCAGCTACCACTGCGGAAGGCCGTTGGGACCTGTTGATGGGGCTGTTTTGTGCCTTGTTCTGTCGTGCCCTAAACCCTGAACCCTAAACCCTAAAAGAGATCCTAAACCCTAAACAAGACCCGAAACTCTAAACCCCCAAACCCTAGATCCTTCAGAGTTCCGAACCCAAGAGGTGGTTCTCCTTGGTCCGGGCGGCCCAGTGATCGCCCCTTGGCCATGGCACCGTTCCGGGGGGCGCGCAGGTGGTGGCTTTGAGCTTTGGGGCTTGCGGCTTTGCTTTGGTTGTTTGCAAGGCGATTGCAGGTGCTTGGGGGTTTGGGGCCTGCTCTCGGTTTTTGCGCTCGTTCGGGTTGTCGAGGTTTAGGGTTTAGAGCACGGATTTTTGGGTGCGTAAGGTTCCCCTTCCTTCAAGATCATTCTCACAGCAATGCTGTGCCCCCCTCGTCTGGCACGGAGACATCCCGTCTTGTAGTGTCTCATTTGTGATGGAATTGTGTTCTCCAGGATCAAGGAAGCCTCCATGTGAGCATGCATCCTTCAACCCGGAAGCCAGCGAAAGGATCCGCACCACAGCCCCATGAGCGTCCGCTTCATCAACGCGCCGCTGGAGCGATCCCCACCACCTTGTGGCCTTGATCCCGTACGGAGTAGTTACCCTAAACCCTAAACCCTAAACCCTAAACCCTAAACCTTAAACCCTAAGCCCTAAACCCTAAACCCTAAACCCTAAACCCTAAACCCTAAGCCCTAAGCCCTAAGCCCTAAGCCCCTAAACCCTACCCTGGAGCCCTCTGGAGCTCCTGCTGGGAGGAGACCGCGGAGGAGTTGAGGCCACCATGGCTTCCGGCCAGCGTGGCGAACTTTGCCACCCTCTCCGCGCTGGGGGTCTTCCTGCTGCTGGGCTTGCATAGGCCCCGAGGCCCACAATCACAGGGGTTTAGGGTTTAGGGTTTAGGGTTTAGGGTTTAGGGTTTAGGGTTTAGGGTTTAGGGTTTAGGGTTTAGGGTTTAGGGGCCATTGATCTGACAGCTATTCAGAGTTCCACTTCAAAGCAGTCCAGGGCTGTGGCTTTGCTGTCCCGGGGAGAGACATTGAATTCTCGAGGAGTCGATGGTAAAGGAGCTTTGAGATCCGAGATCTTGACGGCTAAGGGCTAGGTAAGTTCTGGGTCTTGCTGCGCTTCCTGCTTTTGGACTTGTACCACAGCCGATGATTCTAGCCCCAAAAGCCCTACGCCAGACCTAGCCACGCCCAGGAGCCCCAACAACGTCAACACACTCTTCGGATTGGACTATGACGAGCAGCTCATGCTTCGAAGACCAGTAGGATTCTGGAATTCAACCCTAAACCCTAAACCCTAAACCCTAAACCCTAAACCCTAAACCCTAAACCCTAAATTGACTTCTGGGCTGCAGTTTCCGATTTTGGGAGGTAGGAAGTCCCTGGGTGCCCCTGTGTTGTGCGATCGGGCTTGGAAGGACGTGCCGCTGCGATGGGGCAGGAGTTTTGGGGAAGGGGGGTGGGCTGTTAAAGGGGAAGCGACGACCCACGGGACCCTGCAAGGAACTTTGCCCTAAGCTTTATATCCTAAAGGTCCTAAACTAAATACTACACCCTGAAATCTATGCACCCTTTTGGGTTGTCTCTAGGAACATTGCTCTTCTAACCAGCAGGCTTTCTGCCAGGTCTGCCTCGATTCATTGGGCCCGGTATGTCCGGTTTTCCGCAGCAGCACCTTTTTTTGGGGTGGGGGTGTGATAGTGGTATTCTTGCCCGAAAAAGGGGTTTTAGGCGCTTTGCAGTGAGACCGGGAAGCCCAGGTATCTCGGCCACCTATGGCTGGGCACACGTCGGCCGACGCTGTTGCTGTGGGGTGATGACGACACGGTGGCTTTCCTGATGCCATAGAGTTGTTTCAGGTTCATTCTCCTCCAAGGTGATTCTGAAGAAATCTTTCTTGGGGGACCATTAGCTGTGTGCTTGTTGTATCGAACAATAAGAAGCTTGAACCTCGTCTGGTCAGTCTCCAGACCCTACTTATCCAATTCTTACCCTAACCCCTCTTGCCTGCCACCTGAGGTCGCGAAGCCACGTGCTCTGCACACGCTCGGAACTTCGGCACGAGCCAGAAGTTGCGGATCGCGGAAAGGGGATGGAATGCAATGGAGAGAGACATCTTTTTTTTTTTCCTCTCTCTCTCTCTCTCTGTTACACATACATAAATATATATAGATATACGTAGAGATCAGTCCCAGATCATCCTTTCTCTTGTAGGTCCACACGGGGATCTTTGAAGTGAAAAGCTCTTGCAGACCCCCGCTATAGGGTTTAGGGTTGAGGGCTTATGGGGCCAGTTCAGACCTGTCAAGCCCAAACCAGGCCCCTTCCTGCGGGAGAAGTTCCCCGACCTCACGGCGTTTTGGGTCAAAGGCCCCTGCGGGCCACGCGAGGAAGTTGGAGTTTGGGGAAACCCTAAACCCTAAACCCTAAACCCTAAACCCTAAACCCTAAACCCTAAACCTCTTTGGATCCTGGCCGCCTTCCTTCTCCATGTATCCTGGGCGATTCGAGGTTCAGAAAGCCCTCGCCCCCCACCGTTCGAGACCTGCCGTGCCCTCTTCAGGTGGCGGCCACAATATCCAGTTCGACTCCGTGCTGGCTGTGGCAAGGGCGATGCGGACCTCCTCCCCAAGCCCTGGAAACCTTTGCCCTCGACACTTAAACCCAATCCTACACCCCAAGAAATTCCTCCTGCGCGGCGAGAGAGGTTCGGCGGTAGTGTGCAGACGGTTTGTTAATGACGACTTGGGTATGTCTGGTTGAGTGTGCGTCTGTTGAATGTCTGAAGCTCAGAAATAGTTGAGTCCTGGTGATCCGCTGTGTAGCCCCGCAGTGCGGCAGAGCCAAAAACCGTACTGGGCAGAAGTGGACAAGCTTGAGGTTGTCTTCATTGCAAAGTCCTCCAGACCTGTGGGGCCCGGACTTGGGGCCCCACAGGAAAGGTGCGACCGAAAAGGCTTTAGGGTTTAGGGTTTAGGGTTTAGCGCAAGCTTGTCTCAGTCTGGGTTCAAAAAGGGTTTAGGGCCGCCCTAACCTGTATGTGAGCATCTGCGTCGAAGCCCCACATTCGAAACCCAACCAAACTAGCGGGCGCGTAGGGCGCCCTGTTACTTTCACGCGTTCGAATGGCACGAAAACCAAGGTTTCCGCGCTGTCTGGACGAAAAGCATGGTTGTTGGAAAGGGAACTGTTGCCTTCAGCAGAAGATTCCAGTCGGTTTTTTTAGGCGTGCGCGTCGAGAAGCGACAGTGGGGCAAACAGCTAGTTGTTCCTCTGGAACAACGCAGACAAGCTGCGCAGGAGGTGACGATTTGCAGGCTTGAAGACTTCAGGTTAAGCCCTGAAGCAGGAAAAGAGTAGAATACAGAGAAGGGGAGCCAAGGCGCGACAGAGAACGATCTCAACCAACTCCTCGACAGGGAATGTGGACAATCCTTGCAGTTCAGCCAGCAGCGACACACCCGACATCCGCAGTATGATACAAAGTGAGCCAGCAGAGAGCGACATTAAGGCGGACTTGCGAGGTGGTGTCACAGAAAACAGAAAGACGGAATTAGGTCCCCTCCCAGAGCACAGCAGCAGAATGTTGAGCAATGCCTGCAAAATCCCTGAGAAAAAGCCCTGAAAAAAGGCTTTCAACAACACTTGAAAAAGCTAGCGCAGCATGTCACAGGGGCCCCTACGCGCCCGCCACCGAGATACAAACAAATGCAGAGGACCTTCCTCGATCCTGAGGCCAGCGCCGAGGAGGCTGGATCTTCCCTCCTTGGAAGATCCTCAATGTATCACATAGTAGGGTTTTAGGGTTCTTGAAGGCTTACGGTTTAGGGTTTAGGGTTTAGGGTTTTAGGGCTCGGTCTACTTGATGGGTTTACAACGAACCTGGGCAGCATGAGCTCTTTCCCGGCACGCTCACCCAAGCCTGGATGCAAAAAGGGCTTAAGCCTAGTTGAAAACAGCAGGCTTCCGGCTTCGGGGGGTAAGGGCACTACAGGTCCTGTTCTTGTTGGTACTTGTAGATTTCGGGGTCTGCTTTATCATGGCCCCCTGTACATTTGAGCGCATGACAAACGTTGCGTGGCGCGAGGGGCTGATGGAGAAAATGCTTTGGATGACCAGCGCCAAGCTGTCCCCCGGCTGCTTACAGAAGCTTTAGCGGGTGCAATGGGGTTCTTCGGCTTTCGATGCTTCTTCGTGCACGTAGCGTAGACGCCATTCAGTGTAGCTCTGAGGTTTAGGGTCCCTGCGTTCGCTTGAGGTATCCGATGGATCTGTCTCAGACACCCGGGCCTCGAAGCCAGGCGCAGGGAATCAAGCCCAAAGCCCTAACCTAAAACCCCTAAACAATCCTGAGCCCCAGACCCTGGGCCCTGCAGCCCTAAAAACACCCCCCCAAAGCCCCTAAGCCCTAAGCCCCCAAACCCAAAACTGACCCCTGTATCTGTGCACCAGGATGCCACGGCTCGGCTGTGACGAAGTGCCAGTGAGTGGGTGAACTGAATTAAGAGCAACCCTAAACCCTAAACCCTAAGCCCTAAACCCTAAACCCTAAACCCTAAACCCTAAACCCTAAACCCTAAACCCTAAACCCTAAACCCTAAACCCTAAACCCTAAACCCTAAACATCAAAGAAGGGGGGTTTGGCGGACACATGAAGATGTGGAGAGCTACTTGCACTAGAGGTTTTCCGAGAACGTGTAGAGGTTTCCCACAAGATAGGCGTTCCTGCCAAAAAAACCCAGAGCATCCGCAGATGTTTATCAACGTTTCCACGCGTTTCCCTCCTGGCCTGTCAGGGAATGGCAGTTTTCCCTAAACCCTAGACCCTAAACCCTAAACCCTAAACCCTAAACCCTAAACCCTAGGAAAGTTCCATGAAAGCTGTTTAGAAGCCCGGGGTTGGTAGAATGTCGAGGTATGGAGGTTTTCCTGCCAAGCCGTAGAGGAAAACCGATGCTGTCCTGTGAGTAAGTAGAGGACATAGAGGCTTTTTCATTTGCAAGTAACACAAATGCCTTTACCAACATGTAGAAGTTGCCTGAAAGAATTCAGATGAAGAAAGTCGAGAAACTAGATACTATAAGTTTTCCGCTTGACCGATAGAAGGCCGATGCCTCCAGTTCAATATTTGAAGAATTGCCGAAGTTTGGACATCTCCCGTTCGTACGGTTTAGGATCCCTGAATACTACGGATTCCCAAGCCCACGAATATCTGCAGCGGATGATGATCGCAACCTTACAGAAATCTCAGGTAGCCTGCAATGGCTTCTGGTTCCTGATAGGTATGCAGAGACCTTTGTAGAAAGCCAAGAAGGAGCAGCCGAAACCCTTCTCAGCCGGGCACAGCGATTTCGCCGAGCCTGGCCGGTGTGGAGCATTTCCATCACTGGACGTCCAAGGAATGCTGAAGTTTTTTTGAGAGTCACAGAAAAGTGGTGTGTTGAACCAGCTGCTTCTACAAGGCCGCAAGGGTGGCGCTCCAAAATCCGGGCGACCCTTTCGGTGCTTGTTCTTGTTGGGGAAGCCAGAACCCCCCTTGTAAGCGATAGAAAAGAGGCCTCCCGCGACCCCCAAGCAGCGTGACCTCCTCTGGAAATGCTCTCCGTTTAGGGGCGCCTTTTGAAGCTGCTCCTCGTGTGCGCACAGGCTCGCTGACACACTTGGAAGCCCGGTGGTATCCCTGTCGCCCTTTTTGGATTGTGATCTCTTTATGAAACTCAGGAGCAGAACAAGAGGGTAGCCTCATTGCAGAATCTTGGTTACTTCGTACCTATAACAGCGTTGAACCATCGGCGCCCGCCGAAAACCGAGCAACGATCCCGCGCAACGGCCGTCGCTGACTTCACACTTGCGGTGGATCTTGAGCCGAAAAACCTTGCGCACTGTGCCAGCTGGGACGGTTGCAGGGTTCCTGTTCTGCTCTAAGTTCCTCCAAACACTCAAGCCCTCTTGTCCCTGCAGAGTTGATGTAGGAGCTCTTCCAACCTGCATTGGCGCTCAACAACCTGCAGCTACAAACTGTTCAGCCCCATTCAGAACCCCAAGCTTTGAACCCCCAAGCTTCCTAAGCCCCCCAACAAAGCTTAAAGTTCCTAAGTCCTAAGCCCTCACAGGCTCATAAGAGGACTTCTGTACGTCAACTCCCAAGGAACCCATGGTCCGCCGACGTGGGCTCATAAGCTTATTTTGGGCTACAGGGGAATGGGTGGCCATTCTGTATACCCGAAGACCGTAAGCTTCAGACCTCAAACCTTCAAAGCCCCAAACCAAGCAAACAACCAAAGAACCCCCAAGCCCTGAGCCCCAAACCATCCCAAACCATTCCAAACCCCTTCCACACCATCCCCAGATGTCTCTATATGCATCTACTGCTGATCGGGAGAACCAACCCTAAACCCTAAACCCTAAACCCTAAACCCTAAACCCTAAACCCTAAACCCTAAACCCTAAACCCTAAACCCTAAACCCTAAACCCTAAACCCTAAACCCTATTTAAGAGCCTCCGGCTCAAGCCGCCGACCCCGCTGGAGCATAGTTGAGACCCGCTCGCATGGAAGATCATCCCCGGCAGAGTTCTGTGAATCGTTTGGGGGGGGGTAGGGGGTAGCACCAGGACAAGCTCAAGCCAAAAAGACAGGTGGGTGGGGGTGGGGGGGAGGGGGGGGGGGTAGGGGGTAGGGGGGGGTGGGGGGGGAGGGGGGGGGGGGTGGGGGGGGGGGGGGGGGTTGGGGGGGGGGGTGGGGGGGGGGGGGGTTGGGGGGGGGGGGGGTTGGGGGGGGGGTGGGGGGGGGGGTGGGGGTGGGGGGGGGGGTGTGGGGGGGGGGGGGGGCGGGGTGGGGGGGGGCAGTGGGGGGGGGGGTGGAGGCGGGAAACGCTGATTTTGCTGAGGGCGCCCCTACCCCCCCGTGCTGAACCGCCTGTTTACGCTGTGCGGGTGGCGCGGTCCTCCACGAAAAAATTGTGCACCGACCCCCCCCACCCCCCCCCCCCCGTTTTGGGGGGGTAAGGAGGGAAAGAGGGAGGTTTCACCTCCTTTTCCCATCCAACACGCCGCCAGGGTCGGCGGACCCTAAACCCTAAACCCTAAACCCTAAACCCTAAACCCTAAACCCTAAACCCTAAACCCTAAACCCTAAACCCTAAACCCTAAACCCTAAACCCTAAACCCTAAACCCTAAACCCTAAACCCTAAACCCTAAACCCTAAACCCTAAACCTTAAACCCTAACCCTAAACCCTAAACCGTGGAGCAGGACCTCGTGGACTGCCAGGTCTTCATCTGCGACCGCGCCCTGGCATCTCTCTGGCGCCGAAGTTTTTTTTCTCTCGGGGGGCTTAGGGTTTAGGGTTTAGGGCTTAGGGTTTAGGGTTTAGGGCTTGGGGTTTTTGGGTTGGGGGTTATAGGGTTTAGGGCTTCGGGTTGAGGGTTGAGGGTTCAGCTTTAGGGCTTGGGGTTTAGGGTTAGCACTAGGGGGTCTTTTCCTTGCGTTTCTTGAATTGAAGGGGTTGTGCAAAGGGTGGGGGGGGGGGGGGGCTTAGGATTTAGGGTTTAGGATTTAGGGCGTGGGGGTTGTAGGGTTTAAGGGTTTAAGGGTTCTAGAGTTTTAGGGCTTAGGGTTTTCAAGGTTTTGTGGGTTTTGTGGGTTTTGCGTGGGGAAAGAAAGGGTGTTAAGGGTTTAAGGGTCTGTTTAGGGTTGCAGGTTTTGGGGTTTTGGGCTCTGAGGCTTGGGGTTTAGGGTACAGGGTTGAGCTTTGCGTGAGGGTTTGGGGGGTGGAGGGGATACCATGCGGGGGGAGGTCTGCGGACATGGCGACACGTTTGGGTAGATCTCTCGTTTAGGGTTTAGGGTTTAGGGTTTAGGGTTTAGGGTTTAGGGTTTAGGATGGTTTAGGGTTTAGGCCTTTGTGCCGAAAAGGCCGTGAACCCCAAAGTTGAGGTTGATCTCTGTTTTTCCCAGAGAGAGTTCAGCTGATTCTGGCGGAGGTACGGAGCAGGCCTTTGTGGATGAGTGCCGTGGCCTCCGCATTGTAAGCCGGACAGGGTTTAGGGTTTAGGGTTTAGGGTTTAGGGTTTAGGGTTTAGGGTTTAGGGTTTAGGGTTTAGGGTTTAGGGCTTAGGGCTTAGGGCTTAGGGCTTAGGGCTTAGGGCTTAGGGCTTAGGGCTTAGGGCTTAGGGTTTAGGAACCCAAATCCCAAAGCCTAAACTGTTGGCAGGTCCTGTCTACAGCTTAGCCCTGAAACTTCCTGCTTTTGAGCTCAGGTCCCATGTGTGGTTCTCTAAGTTTTGTCGCCTCTTGGGTTTGGGGCTTCAGAGCCCGAAATCTTCGGGGACTTGTGGTACCATGATTACGAAAACGCTGTGCCCCCCTAAACCCTAAACCCTAAACCCTGAGAGAGAAACCCTAAACCCTAAACCCTACACCCTAAACCCCAAACCCCAAAAAAAACCCTAAACCCTAAACCAACCCTAAACCCTAAACCCTAAACCCTAAACCCTAAACCCTAAACCCTAAACCCTAAACCCTAAACCCTAAACCCTAAACCCTAAACCCTAAACCCTAAACAAAAAACCAAACCTAAAACCTAAACCCTAAACCCTAAACCCTAAACCCTAAAAACCCCCCTAAACCCTAAACCCTAAACCCTAAACCCTACCCTAAACCCTAAACCCTAAACCCTAAACCCTAAACCCCCTAAACCCTAAACCCTAAACCCTAAACCCTAAACCCTAAACCCTAAACCCTAAACCCTAAACCCTAAACAAAAAGCCAAAAACCCTAAACCCTAAACCCTAAACCCTAAACCCTAAACCTTAAACCCTAAACCCTAAACCCTTAACCTTTTTGGGGCCTCCTCTCCCAGGCTCGGGCTGCAAGATCCTCATCGGCTGCTGTAGCGGGCCGACCTTCATCCGCGACTGCAAAGGCCCCCGCAACGACATCTGGGCCTTCAGCCAAACCCAGATCTCCCTAAACCCTAAACCCTAAACCCTAAACCCTAAACCCTAAACCCTAAACCCTAAACCCTAAACCCTAAACCCTAAACCCTAAACCCTAAACCCTAAACCCCTTAATTAAGGAATATACCCTAATTTATACTAAGGATCCTTAGTATGAATTGGGGTATATTTCTGAATTAAGGGGGTTTTGGAAGATCTGGGAAGAAGCATGGGCCAGATGTGCAGTCAAAGTGTAGATGATAGGTCTGATATTATTTATGATGTTCTGCTTATTGTATTTATTATTATTATTATTCTTATTATTCTTACGATTATTATTATTTTTATTATTGTTATTATTATTATTTGGGGGGGGGGGGGGGGGGGGGGGGGGGCGGGAATCTCTGACAGTCCTTGATTCCGTCTAAGCTGCTCATCTGGAAGCCTTGGGTTCCTGACTTCCAACACGCCCGCCACACTTTCCGAAGATCGAGACGCCAAACCCTAAAGTGCGTCTTTCTGGCAGCTAGGTGGGC